GTGGCTCTGCCTCGGTTTCTCCGATGACCAGGGTGCGTGGCGCCCCCTGGGCTTGTGGACCAGGATAAGGGAAACCAGACTTCCAGAGGTGCTAGTGAGCCTGGTCCCACAGCAAGGGCCTCAGGTGTGGGGACAGGGTGACAGCTTCCCTCCTGACCCGCAGGACAGGCTCCAGTGGGATAGGGTAGCTTGTGCCATCATCTCCTGCCACTGGTCCCCGCCTGGCCTCCGCTGACCCATCTGGTTAGAGCGGGGCAGAGGGACCGGAGCCAGCTCTGAGCACCACTGAGTCCCCAGCCTGGCGCCCGGGCCAGAGGAACCCTAGCACTCAAGACAGCAGTGCCCCCAGGACCTCAGCACAAAAGTAGGGTTTTCTTGGCCCTGGGCTCAGCCTGCCCTCCCCCTGCCTCAGGGCAAATCTAAGCTAACCCTAACCCAAGACAGGAGGCGGAGGGGCATTCTGGCCTCTGTTTCAATGGACAGGAGGCCCCCCCAGCGAGGATCTGCTCCAGCCACCACGGTTCACGAGCACCCTTGCCCTTGGAGAGTACGGATGGGTGCGCACCGAGTGCGAGCTGTGTGTGCATGGGTGACGTGTGGGCGTGGTGAGCGTGCACACGGGTGAGCTTGGTGCTGCCAGAGCACTGGGTTCTGAGCCTTGAGGGTGTGCTGGTCTGGCAGGTCCTATTGCTCTGGGTCAGTGAGCTTTGCCCTCAGAACCTGAGGAAGGTGGTTCAGACAATGCCCCAGGTGTGCCAGCCTCCCTGTGCCTGTCCTCAGCTTTCCCTCCTTCAGCCTCACAGGAGCCCTGGAGAGAAGGTTGTGCCTCCTGCGTTTGCCGGCTGGAGAGGTTGAGCGACTTTCCCAAGGTCACACAGCTGCAGGGCCTCAGCACAGTCCATTCTCCGGAGCTCATGTTCCTCCAGTGCCCGGCCAGCCAGGTCCTTGGTGACTCCGCAGGGAGCCCAGGGCATCCCCACCAAGTTCCTCTCAGACTCCGGACCCCAGCCTAACCCAGACCATCCGATCTGTCACATTCAGCAACCCAGCGGAGCCCCATTACCTGCACAGTCTCTCAGGAGCGGGTTGGAGGCTGTGGCCTCTGGGGCCGGTCACCCTCCAGGGACGTACCACCTGCTGTGACACACGCCCACACCCATTGCACCGGACTCGGATCTGCAGAATCCGTGGTTTTCTCCCAGGTTTGGCCTCGGACTCCATCTGCGCACCGCCCCCTGACAGCAGCTTCTCCGTGGTCAGGAGGGAATATTTTTATGGTAAAAAATGAACCTCGCTGCGTCGGCTCCAGGAGGAATTGGGTGCTGTCCCCTGGGTTGCCAGGCAGACTGATGACAATTCTGCTTATGAAGTCGCTGCTTCCCCATTAATTAGGGGGGAGGGGGCACTCCCACCCCCTTGCACCGCACCCGCGGCCAAAAGCTTGTCAACATCTCCCACAAAGAATGAAAATGTAAATAACTTTCAGATTATTCAATGTCACCAAGGTATGGAAAAGGTCGCAATGCTGGGTGCCATTTATCTCCTTGTGGATTTAAAGAGCTTTTTTTCTATTAAATTTCTTAAAATTAATGTTTTATGTTGCTCAGAGTAATTTGAACAATTATGGGCTTAAAGAATTGATCATTACAGGCCCTGAGATTCAGCCTTCAGGCCGATTCCTCTGAAACCCAGTGATCTACTGTCTTGCTGCTCAACCAGGCAAACCCCAGGGTTTAGACCCCACCCCTTCCTGTGGGGTTCTGGGGGACAGTCCGCAGGCAAAGGCCGAGGTTCGCATCCGACGGAGGGAGGTGCCCTGGCCTCAGGGCCACAGGGGTGTCTCTGATTTGGGAGGGTCCTTTGGGCTTTCACCCGTCCGCACATTTTATATTTTTTAAAAAAGGATCCTTTTCTATTTAGGAAAAAAAGAAGTGGGAATCGTTATTCGTATTACTCAGGATTCATGTTTGATCATGTGATACAATCCCTGGGCTCCGAAGTGAACGTCCTCCACACGGCGACACAGGCCTGCCAGCCGGGTGGTCCTGCGTCCCCGCCAGGGTGCCCACCGGAGCCGGCGCCCCGTCTGCTCGCCCTCCGCCGGCCTTGGGTCCAAACGGCGAACAGACCGGCTCCAGACGCGCGCACGTACCCAGCCCCCCCTCTGCGCCCACCGGCTCCGCAGCGCCCTTCCCGCCAGCACCCTGGCCAGGGGCGCCAGCGTCGGGCGGACCCTTCCTGAGTGGGTCCCTCCGCGGAGATGGCCCCTTTCCCACCGGGCCCCAACCGCGGGCCGAGGGCAGACCTCAGGCTTCGAGCTGGGCACCCCACTCCGCCTGGTTCGGTGGGAAGACGGGGGTCCCAGGAACCCCATATTCTCGGAGGACACCCGCACGCGCCCAGACGCTCCGCCCGGATAACCGGGCTCATCGTGGAAAACAAGGGGCGTTTTCCAGGTGACCCTTCCGGAAGGGGACCCAGAACCCTGGGCGTCCGCCTTCTCTCCCTTCGCCTCCCAAGAGCCGGGACTGCAGACGCCCGGTGGTCCGAGGTCCTCTCCGCCCCTGCGCGGGGACCCCGACCCCCCCTGCGCGCTCGGCACGTCGGGGTCCAGGTCCGCCCGGCTGTGCAGGACCGAGGGGTGGAGACTGCGTGTCTTCCCGGGGAGCGTGGGCAGACACAACGCTAGAGGCACCCGCTTTGCTGAGACGGGGAAACTGAGGCTGGGAGGCTATGAAGCCAGCAGTCTGGTGGCCGTGGGTGTGGCCTGCGGAGCCCCATCTGCCAGCCTCGCGCTCGGGGTGGGCCGGGACCGAGGGCCTGGCCGTTCGGACTCAGGGTCATCTCGCGCCGCAGCTGCAGCGAGCTGGGCGGGAACCGCAGCCCGTCCTGAGCGCCCGCGGGACACTTAGCACTTTATTAACCTGTCAGCGCCGAGCAGGTCCCCGGCGGCCTGGGGGCGGGGCACCAGGATTTATAATCCCCTCTGGGGCTGCCCAACAGGCACCAACTGCCTTCGCCTCCTGAATCCCCCTACACCCGTCTCACCCAGGCTGGGCTGCTTGCCCCTAGGGCTCCAGTCTCCCGGAAACGAGAACCAGGTGACCTTCCCAGGACCTGCCCCTGCTGCTGCCCCCGGTGTCCCTGACCATGGAGCCCCATGCCCAGGCCAGCCCTGGACACCTCCGTTCACAGCGTCCCTAATGTGCCCCAGAGTGGCTGTCAGCACCTGTCTCTAGCCCACACCTCCTCCTGGTTCCCCTCCTGGCACCCCATTCCAAGGCTGCCCCAGCACCTGCCCAGATACCAAAGGGCCTCATGGACTTGGGGGACTTGTGACAAGAGGACATCTAGGGAGCACCTACTCCTCCTTCCCGTGTGTGTGGGGGGGCAGCCTATCCCTTCTCCTCTGCTTTGATCTGGGGCCCAGCTCCCCTCCCCCTTTATCTCACCGACATCAGTGCCCCCGTGATCCAGGGGGCCCTCTGGGGGTACTCATTGCAGAGGAAGGTGGAGTGTCACATCGAACTCTCCTCTTGTGTACTCCTTCTAGGGATGACCCCACGGTCTCCACAGAAGGACAGGTGGGGCAGAGGGGCAGGTCAGCTGCCCAGGGTCCCAGAGCAAGAGAGCAGATGGCTAGGATGGGAATCCAAGTTGGAGAGACCCTCGTGAGAATGTGCCCAAATCGGACGGGCTGATTGCAGCTTTGCCCACGCCCTGGCTGGTGCAGCCCCAGACCCTGCCTCTCCTAGAGAGCCACCCCATGGATGTCGCGGTCTGGTCTCCTGCATCTCCTAACAGTGCTCAGAAGTTTAGCCAAGACCCAGGGACAAGGGCCCCAGCTCACACCAGGCGCCTTCCCTGGCAAGGAGCCAGCAGCTGCTCCAACACGGCCTTCCTGCACCCCAAGGCACCGTCCATGCCTGTGACCCCCACTCAGGAAAGACATGGACATTCCAACAACAGCAACTGACAAATTTATTGAAGTCTTGGAAAAAGCCGATGGTCAGAGAATAATAAAAGACACGGGACTTTCACAGAACCAACAGGTAGCTTGCGACACGGGTTTGCAGGAAAGACTTGGACTCACACACGCCAACCTTTGTGTCTGGAGAAGGTGGCAGGGACGCTCAGAGGAGCCCGCCCCCGCCTTCTCCAGCTGACTCCCAGCCAGGCCGTTAGAGGCAGCTGGGGGAGGGGGCCCGGGCGCTGTTTGGCAACGGAAATGGATGGGCTGGGCGTGGCCTGGATGCTGAGGCCTAGGGGCGCTGTGACCTCGGAGGGGATGGAAACTTAATCTGTGGTGGGAGGGAGCTTTTTGTGGGCTGGAGGGGCTGGTCTGGAGACAAGGGCCCCCCAGGGATTTCTGTCAACTCCGTGGGTGTGGAGTCCAGTGAGAAGGGAGAGCACCTGAGCCCTGTGTCCTAAGGTAGAGCAGCGAGGAGCCTCCTGGGGACGGTGGGGTTTGGTGGCAGGGAGGCCCCCAGAGGGAGCAGAAAAGATACAGGTGTCTCCCCTCCCCCACTGCCACCTTCCACCTGGAAAGGTGAGGCCCGTCTCTGACCTAAGGCGAGGGCGGGGAGGGGGTGCTACACAGCTCAGAGAGATGGAGCCTGAGAAAGGAAAGCATGATCAGTAGTATTTTTTAATTTTGGAAATTAAAGCATCTTCCAGCCTGGCTGTGACATTTCATGTCTAGAACCAGCAGCAAGCCCTCATGTAATGGTCAATAAAGGGAGAAATCTGCTTATAAAACGAGGCTTGCTGGGTGCCCACCAGGCACAGACAGTCCCTGCCCCAGGTGTGGGGGCTGCGGCGGGGCACTCCATGGAAACCAGCCCTCCACGATGTCCTCAGCCCGTCCCCAGCTGGTGGCACCTCCTCACGGAGGCCCAGGGCTTTGAGAAAGGAGAGTGCAGCTCCAGGCCACCCAGCCAGGGGCAGCGCTGTGGGCCAGACCCTTCAAGTCCAGTGCTCAGTGGAGCTGGGAGCCTTGGTCAGAACTGGGCGTGATCCACCTCGTCCAGCCAGGAGGCAGGGCTGGCGGGGAAGTCCGGGTAGCCTCCACTGCTCCCTGTGGACAGGTCGGAGCTGGGTCCGTTCCCTGCCAGCACCCTCATGGGCGGGGGCCCACCCGGGGCCCCCGTGGGTACGAGGCTCAGGCTGGCATCTGGATACACCAAGCTGGAGAGGAGGGGCTGGGGGCCGGGGAGGCTCTGCAGGGCAGCTGGGGATGGGGGGATGCCATAGGGGCTGCCAGGGCGCAGCTCACGGTACTGCTCTGGGCCTGGGCCAGCCAGGCCTCCATGTTCCAGCGGGAAGCTGCCTGGGGCTCCTGAGGGCCGGCCCAAGGCTGGGGTGGGCTCCCCAAGGCTGCTGTAGAGGCCATTAGCGGGGCCCATCTCAGCCATGGACGGCTCTTCTGCAAGAAAAGCAAAGGGTGATGGTCAGTGCCTGCCCTGTACCTCTGGACCCCTCGTGCCCTCCTGCGGGGGGACCTGCGTCGCCTGGTTTTACTGCCCCTGCTCCTCCTCTGCTGGTGTTCAGTTCAGCCCACCCGGTGTCTAAGGAATGGGGGAGCCCTTCGTGGAATGGTGCCAGCAACAGTCCAGTCTGGACCCGAGGTTCCAGGATGACCCCAAGGCTGCCTTGGGAGCGGTGGCACAGACACCGCCCTGTCCCCCCCATTTTGCAGACAAGTTCCTTGAGGCGGGGGAAGCTGGATGAAACAGTGCAGGTCACAGTGCGGCCAAAACGAGAGTCTCCTGATGAACATTAAGGGGTGGGGGGCCCCCTGGTGCAGCAGAATGAGATCCTAGGGTCCCACAGAGGAAGGTCGACCTTCCCAACACCAAGCAGACAGGACTTTTTCATCACTGACCCCCAAACTGTGCTGCCCCCTTTCCTAAAAATCACTTCCAGACGGGAAGCTGGAGAGCAGGTGTGAACCCTCCCCTAAGGAAGCCTGCAGGACAGGGGCTCGCAGGGGTCCTTCCCCACCAGGAGAAGGACAGTGGTCCTGAGTGGCCGACTCACAGGGCTTGGGGATGGGGACCACGGTCTACAAATAAAACTTTTACAAAACGCAGGCTAAAGAGGCCACTGACTAGGAAATACCGATTCCTAGGCTGCCTGCCACCCACCAACCCAACACTCCTCCGACCGGGGCTGCCCGCTCTCGGGACTCGGGAGTTGGGCGGCCGGCCCGCACCGGTGAAGGAGACCTCGGCGTCGCTGTCCTGCCCCTCCTCCTGCGCGCCGTCCTTGTCCGACTTGGAGGCGCCCCGCGCGCGCTTCATGCTTCGGAAATACTGGCCCCAGCGCTGCCGGCCCGCGTCCTTCTTGAGTCTCTTCTCCTTGGCCCGGCGGTTCTGGAACCACACCTGGGGAGAGGGTGCCTGTGAGCGGCGCAGGGCGGGCGAGGCCGGCTGCGTGGCGCGGCGGCCGTGGGCGGCGCGGGTGCTGACCTGCACGACGCGCATGTCCAGGCCGGTCTCCGACGACAGCTGCTCGCGCACGTGGCGCGCCGGCTTGGGCGACGTGTTGTAGGCGCTCTTGAGCGTCTCCAGCTGCTTGGCCGTGATGGTCGTGCGCGGCCTCTTGGCGGTGGCCTCAGCCTCTGCACCGGGGGAGCCGTGAGGCTGGGCCTGCTCCTCCCGCGCCTAGCGCTCCCGCCCCTCCGCGTGCGGAGACGAGTGGGTCCCTCATGCGGACCCCGCGACGGCCCGCCGCGCTGGGAACCGGGGAGAAGACGGGCGGGGCGCCTGGGCCCCGGCAGCGGGGCTGCTCCGCGGCCCTAGATCGCGGCCCCTCCAGCCCTGTCCCCCTCCCCTCCCCACCAGCAAGCACTTGCTCGGCTCCTCTTTGTTCTAAGTGTATGGATAGGGCTGGTTTTTCACTTTAAGGAGTTAGGACGCTAATTCAGACGAGGGGTGAGGCTTCCCAAGTTCAGACCAGCCTCTCTGCACTCCCGAGTGAGGCGGCCGCTGAAACCCAGACCCTGGCTTCCGTAGAGCGGGTCTGTGAAGTGGTCCCACCCGGCTCCGGCTCTCAGGCCTGGGGTGAGGGGGCCCTCACCGCCCAGCCTGGAGGGAAGGCGCTCAAGCTCTCGCTGGGTAGTGAGCGCTTCGCAGCGGGCGCTGACACCAGGATACCTCCGCGCCCCACCCGGACTGGCCGGACTGCGCCAGACCCCTCCCTCTGACCTCGCTGCTTGGCCGTCTCGTAGTCCGCCTTGCACACCAGCCGGCTGTCCTCCATGAGGTAGAACTCGTCGCCCGTGGCCAGCTGCCGCTTGCAAACGACGCAGGCAAAGCAGTGCAGGTGGTACACGAAGTCCTGGGCGCGGCGCACCACCTGTGTGGGCGGGATGCCCAGCTGGCATGCGGCGCACTTGGTCCCGAAGCGCCTGCGGAACGCACGGGGCACGGCTGAGCGCTGCGCGGGCGGCGTCTTCGCCCCGAGCGGGAACGAGAGCACCAGCGCGAGCCCGTGCAGGGCGCCCGGGAGGAAGGCCGGCGGGTCCGTCCCGCAGCCCCAGCAGAGCCGCACAGGCACCGAGAAGCCGCCTGGACCCCTCCGCATGGCGTCGGGAAGGTGAATCCCTTAGAAGCTTATGCCCGGAAAGTGACACCCCCACTCCTCAGCCTTAAGGACAAAAACAAGGCCAACCCTAAAAGGGAGTATGTCCAACAGAGTTCTACAAATGTGGGGTGATCTCCACGATTTACAAATGTAATTATGTAAAAAAAAAAATGTGTTTGCCCTGCCCAGACGCCCGTGGAGAGGCCCTGGGGTACCTGCCTGGGTGCCGGGTCACCCAGGGCTTCCCAGCTGGGTTGTTGCTGGGAACCGGTCCTGGCTGGGCACCGCCTATCCCCCCGACCCTAGCCCGCCCATCCCCACCCAGCCCCGGGCTCACTTGAAGAAGTCGTCCTTGCAGTACACGCTCTCCCCGCGGCTGAAGCAGCGCTCGGCCAGGGGAGTGTGGCAGTCGCTGCACTTCAGGCACTTGCTGTGCCAGTGTCGGTCCAGAGCCTTGAGGATGAATCGGTCCAGGATGTGCTGGTCGCAGCCGGCACAGAGCGGGATCTCTGCAAGGCGAGGGGCCACCAGTGGTGAAGGGCACAGCCCAGAGCGGGTGCTGGAGTCTCTTTCCCATCCCAGCCCCCCAGGCGCAGGGTTGCGGAGGGAGACCCCCTTCCCTGCACACCCTCCTCCCCAGCCAGCTTGAGGGGCCGCTGGGCTCCCCAAGTGTAGAGAGTACATGGCCTTGAAGCCCACGGCCCAGCCTGCAGCTAAAATTTAATGAAACTGAAATAGGTTTAGAAGTGTGGCCATGAGCAAGAAGGTGCCTGGGCCAGTCCACTCGGCCAGATACTTTTCATTCCAAAATGGGCCAGTGCACAGGCCGGTGCACACTGAGTGCAAACGAAAACCCACCCAGAGGCGCTCAGGTGCAGGGGTCCTCACCATCACCGGGAGTCCAGGCACATGTGTGTCCTGGGGCACCCACCACCCCATCGCCTGCAGCACTTTGCAGTTATGCGTCCTGATGTCAAGAGACTCCTTGTGCCGGCGGCCCCACGGCCTGTCTGCAGGCCACTCAGGTAAAACTGGTGCTTTCCCCTTCCTGTGAGCGGACTGGACACATGGACCCACGGTCCTCATGCTCAAGAGTGGGTGTCCCAGCACACAGTGGGCCGTTGGCAGTCCCACGCAGCCCGCCACCCACAACAGGTTCTCTTGGGCTCTGCTCCCTTGGAACTACGGGCCTCGGGGAGACCAGGTGGGGAAACTCGGGCGGGCTGCAGGAGCCCTGGGTCCACGGGGGACTTTTCAGGGTGCTCCTGGGATGAGGCCTCCCGGTTAACTCAGAAAAGATCTCCCAGAGAGAAGACAGCCTCGAGCAGCAGCTGGAACCCACATACATACTGCGTTCACCTCACCTTGCCCACCTGGCTGGCCCCGGACCCCTCCAGCTTCAGGCGCCAGGCGGAGTGAGGGCGCATAAGAAGGACCTCGCTGGGGCGCCAGGAGCGGAATAGACCTCCCTCCCGCAGTAGCGGGAAACCCGCGAAGGACGCGGTCCCGCATCGGGCAAAACCGCGGCCCCAGGTGCGGAGCCTGGGGACCCGCTGGGTGGCCGGGACCCTCATCGTGGGCGGCAGGGCAGAGCGGCCAGGACACCCCGCATAGAGCTGCTGGCAGGACAGGCCCTCGCAGCGCGTTTCAGCACCGCGGCCCGGACAGCGCCCCGGCCGTGCCTTCCCCGCAGCCCGCGTCCGGCAAAAACCGCTCCCGCCGCACCCCTCACGCTCCCCGCGGAACCCTGGCGACCCGGCCTTACGCTGCATGGCGACTCCAGCCTCGGCGGGGTCCCCTACCCTCAGCGCTGGCGGGGCCCAGCAGAGCGTCGCGCTCGCCCGCCTGCTCCCGGCCAGCTCTCCTGAGCGGGCTCCTGGGAGCCCGCCTCCCCTCCTTCCCTCTCCCTCCGCCCTCCCACCCCTTCCTCACAGTCCCTGCGGCCAACCCATCTCAGGAATCGTCGGGAAATAAATTAATAAATAAACAAGTAGAGAAGGATGAGACCCCACAGCCTGGATGTAACCGCTTTCCCACCTGCCCCTTCCTGCCAGTCCCCACTGCGCCAGGCTGCCGCCGTCTCCATTCCGCGGGTCCTGCCAGCTCAGAAGACCGCGGGAAATGGTCCCGATTCTCCGGGAGCCAAAGCACTGGGGGCGAGACTGGTGCCACCAGGAAGTTGGGGGCTTGGCTGCAGAAGGGTTCAGAGGGTCATCCCAGAGGGGACCAACGGAGCAGTGCGTGGGTGCAGATGCTGAGACTCCAACTAGGGGCGATGTACGGATGGGGTCCAGCTCCACCCTGGCTCCTGATTCTGACTCTCTTCCAGGAAGTGAGGAGGGTCCAGATGGGAGCTGTCCTCGTGGGGATCCTCCTGGCCCGTGGTCAGTGGGCCCCCACGGTTGCTCTCTGCACTCTCCCTAAACCGGTCCTGGGATCTGGAGGGCTCCCGGTCTGGACAGTGCAACGCCATGACCACACACCCAACTACACAGCGCCAAGGCCCCGGCGCAAACTTGCTGCTGAGCGCCCAGGTGGGGACTTGCTGCGGCCCTCGAACCCACTCCCGCCCGGGTCCCATAGGACCTGTGGCCAGGCCCGAAAAGCAGCGAGGACCTCTGGGTCTCCGGGGGGGGGGGGGCGCGGGGGCGGGGTCCACCCTCTCCGGTGCAGGCGCTCGGCCCCTGAGCACCCACCTCGGCGCAGGTCCTCCCTCCGCGCCAGCAGCGCCAGAAGCAGGTCACCGCCCGCCGACTCCCGGCCCGGGCCCAGCTCCCCGCGAGCCTCCATGGGTCCCGCCGCCCGGCGCCGTCGCAATCCGGCCCCGAACTTTTTCGGGATCCAGCGAGGTCACGGCCTCAGTGGTCCCCGGGCTGGCGTCCGAGCCACTACCAGCGCTGCTGGGCGCTGCGCCCGCGGGCCGCCCCGGGTCCCGGAGCCTCGGCCCGAGCGGAGGGCGGAGCGGCCTAGGGGGCGGGGCCGCGGCGCGGGGCGGGGCCGGGGGTCGCGGAGACTCGCCCCGGGCGTCCGCCCGCTCTGCACGCCTTTGAGCCGGGAACTGCGGTGCCCAGACGCCACCCCGAGTGCCGGCCGGAGGGCGCGGACGGGCAGAGGGGGAGCCGGGTTAGGGCCGCCCGCGAGCACTAGCCCAGGCCCCGCAGCTTCCTGCCCCTGCGCTGCGGGCGCGAGCTGAGGCCTGGACTCAAGCGCGTGCGCGCAGGCTGGGGGTCCTGGGAGGAGGGTCGGGGAGGGGGCTGGGTCCTATGGCCGCTGAGGCTCGTACTCAAAAGCCGGACCTGGAAAGCTTGGTGACAACGTCTGGTCGGCACGAACGCCACCCGAGACCCGGAGAGGGTGAGTGCGTTGCCCAAGGGCTAGAGAAGCCACCTGGAGCCAGACACGAACTCAGATCTCCTGGTTCTGACCAGCGTCTGGACTCACTGTTGGAACTTCCGCTCTGCGTGGGCGCAGGGAAGGAGGGCAGTTCTGGAGAGAAAAGCCCAGTGTCGCCTGGCCTGGACAGGCGACCGAGACTCCAGGTCAGGAGGGACGGAGCTGGGACAGCCAGGGACCCACTCTCACTTCCTCACCCCTCAGCACCCTGGCTTGCACAGAACGCAGCCCCTGCACCTGATTTCCCCATATCCTGCCCCAGTCCAAACAGACGAGCCTGCAGGAAACCACCTGTCCGGCACATAGAGCCGCATCTACCCCAGGGCGGTTAGCGGCTCCTGTCCAGAGGGCATGAAGCACCTGGCCACAGGCTGGGGCCCCCTGCAGTCACCCGCAATCAGGACACAGCAGTGTGGGCCCCTTGCAGCGTGGGACATACAGAGGGCAGGGGCCCCGGGTAGTGCCAGGGGACTCGCAGGTTGATGCCATCCTCCAGGTTCCCCACCTGGGAGTCCCACAGTGAGGCCAGTCTTCCCCTGCCCGGTGTCCTGTCTCGTCACCCGGTCTGTGTGACGTCTCAGTTCTGATCAAAGGCCCCTGCAGCCAGCCTGTCATTTCCCACTGCTCTTGTGACCCTGAAGGACAGGGCATAGGTGCCCCAACCTTGGAGCCCAGTGGGTGCTGAGTGCTGAGATTGCCCGAGAGGGGCCATGTGTGGTCTGACTGGGGCAGGGGCAGGTGGGCAGTGGATGGAGGAGGTGGCAGCCCCGCAAGCTCGGCATCTGGCCAGCCCACCAACAATGCCTCCATTATTTCCCAACGTCTGTTTGTGGTGATCAAATGACCCTTGGGGAGAGAGGTTCAGGAAAGAGACCCAGTCAAGGGGTTCAGGAGCTGTACTGTTGGGCTGGTTGGTGAGTTCCAGGCTGGGCTGTGTGGGACCTGAGGGGTGTGGGTCTCTAGAGGAACTTGGCACGTCTGAGCTGCACCACCCCTTGGCCCAGCAGTGCTTGCAAGGTCCCTACTGCTCTGGAGTGCTTGGGTCCAGGCCCCCAAACCACCCGCGGAACCATGGCCGAGAGCCCCAGGATCTCCACCCTCTCCTCTCTGACTCTCCCTCTGCATGCTGTGCCCCTCCCCCGGGGCATCTCTCTGCGCCCCTTGCCCTTTCTCCCCTTGAGGCCTTTCTGTTCGGGCCTCCAGCCTGAGGGCCACTGGGGCTCTTACCTCTAGTTCTACCCAAGGTGCGAACAGCAGTGGCCCAGGGAGCCCCGGGTCTCTCTCCGTCATGTGCGAGCTCCATTTCCAGCAGCATCGCTGCCACCGTCCCGGCAGGGGAGAGGTCGGCGGAGAGGCTGGGGACGCGAGCCCCCCCGCCCCCCCGGTTCGGAGCGCCCGGAGGCCAGTGTGCACGTCAGAGCTCCGGGCCAGATCCGGGGAGCTGAGGGCCCAGGTGCTGTCCCCGGTGCTGAAGGAGGCGTGCGTGTGGTTGCCCACCTCTCTCTGCAGGCCCCCTGACCCCGCCTCCTTACCCCCCCCCCACCTCTCCAGTCCCCATGTTTGGGCAGCGTCTGGGGGTTCCACCCTGAACTCCAGGCTGCCACAAGGCAAGGGACTGGCAGTAAGTGGGTGCTCCACCCTGCTGCTCCTGCACACGCCCTCCTGGAAGGCAGCACCGAGGCCCAGCTTGGGTGGCCCTCCTGGCCCTGTTGGCTCCAGCCCAGGCCCCACCAGGCCCTGGCTCCGGATGAGGCTCAGAGGTGGTCAGTGTTGCTGCTGGCCTGAGGAACTTTGCATTTACACCCCCCTCCCCCCATCTCAGGCCGCAGCCCCACCCTCACAGCAGCCGGGAGGGGCATCTGGAATCAAGTGAAGGGAGCTCCAGGGCCCTGGGCCTGAGCAGGGGTCACTGATGGGGAGCCTGCCCCACACCAGCACCACAGACCCGGGCTGGTGGCTGGCACGACCTTGTGCTCTGCCTTGGCGGGCACACTAGAGGTTGCTTGTTTCCTCCCTGGGGGAGGGGCCTGGGCAAAGCTGGGGAGGGGGTTATCTACCAGCCTCTACACAGCTGGGCTGGGGAAGCAAGGCCACAGAAATTGCAGCCAACAGGTCTCCCTCTGAAGCCACGTACTTGACCACTGGAGACCTCTTCCTACAAAGTGGGGCAGGAGAAGAAACCCAAATAATTCAGAGTCGGAGGCAGCGAAGCCCCGGCCGGGGACTTAGCCCAGGAGGCAGGGCATTCAGGCTCCGTGGCAGAGGGGGGCCTAGGAAAGCCATGTCCAGTGAAGACTGATGTCTGGAACTGGGGTCCTGGGGGGCTCCCTGCCACAGTGCCCCTGGTGCAGGCCACCTGCTGTCATCACCACCTCACGCCGTGGGAGGAAGGCTGCAGTCTTGTCTCAGTACCTCAACCCCAAGATGGTCTATAATTTAATTTACCCCCATCTTGCCCTTCCCCTGACCCGGGGCTGTGTTCCAGAAGCCCCGGCTCTGAGCTCTGGAGTCCCCACGGTGCGGCCCACAGGCTCTGGAAGGAAGGGCTCCACTCTGCACCTGCTGACACCCTCGCTGTTGCCACTAGTTGACACTTCCAAAGAATTACAATATTTTCAAATGTCAGATCTTTTATTTTAAAATGTGCACATTATAGTTTAAATACAAAATGTTCACTTTCTTTGCACGTAAGAAATTTCACTGACATTTCCATGCCATTAGCTTCTTTTTAATCAAAATTCTTCCATTAAAAATAAATACATTTAAATTACCAATCATACTCACTCTCAATACTCACGACTTGAGGAAGCAGACCTGAGGCGGCACCAGCGCTGGGCGGCGGCGTGACGTGTGCCGGGTGCTCCCTCTCGCACTGAGACTCACTCCCGGCCCCTTGGCACATCCCCTCCTGGACCACCACGGTCTGCGAAAACCTTGCTCCCCAGATGTCACACATGTGCCCTCGAGCTGCAACGTCACCGTGAGCCTACAGCCTGCCCAGTGGCTCTGGCGCACACGGCTACAGACTTGTACTTTGAGGGAGAGAAAATATTCAACGCGAACCAAAGGCAGGTGAATGAACGCTTCCAAGTATTTCCCTTGAACTCTGTGTATCTGCCCATTTTCAACTTGACAAGAAACAATACTGTGTCTGCAGCGCCCCAGGCACACAACAACTACAGGTTCTAAAATAGAGGCTTCTGGGTGTTAACAATGTGTCAGTCAACAAGAAACCTCTACTGGCAGAGATGTGAGCAGAGGCTCAGAGGGCAGCCCCGCTTCCTGCAGCTGCGCCCGCAGGTGGCATCAAGCGGTTGGAGGCGTCAGCTGTGCATTTCCCAGCTGCAGTGGAGACATGGCACGGCAGGGTCTTCAATGCGCCCTCGAGATCACTGCAGTGAGTGACAGAGTATAAGAGAGGCCAGTAAAAAAACCATCAGTGACACAGGCACACACAGGCAAACAGGGGCACACACAGGGGCCTCGGCGACAGCCCTGTGCCAGGAACCCACATAAAACAGCTTCAGGCAGATGACGTTTGGCCGTGGAGATGTCAGCGAGACCACCTGTGTGCCAGCCGCTCTGGGCTCTGGGTGACCAAGGGCCCCCGGCAGGAGCTTGGCTCAGGCTCAGCAGTGTCCGACTGCCTGGGGAGGAGGTGGACTGGGACGACCACTCACTCAGCTTTCTCTGGTCCCAGAACAAAACAAATAAGCAAAGGCACTGTCCCTGAAGAATAGATGAGCCCCCCCCCCCCCCCGCTTTCATCCACCACGTCCACTCCACATGGCAGGGGGTCCTTCCACAAACCCAGCACTTGCTTTGCTCTGGGTCCGTGGCTGCGGTGGGTCTTTCTCCAAATCCCAAAACAAGGCTTTGCAGAACTGGACACAGAATCTAGTAAACTTGAGGTGAAAGTGGGCACAAACATCCTGTTCATTTGGCCTGGACACCCCACCCCCACTCTGAGACCTAGAAGAGTAAAAATATAGAAGTCACTTTGCTATGGCCCTGTCAAAGGTGCCCACTGAGTGTGCCCGGAAGGCAAACAGCCCCAGCTCGGAGCCAAAGCTGCCCCGACGTGAGGGCAGGTCCGCCATGTCTATGGATCCCTGATCAGAGTGTTAAAGCTGCCGGCTTGGGTGGGCTGTTCCCACAGGCGTCTCCTACACAGACGGGTGGTGATGCCGGACTTTCCATCGCTTGGCTCGCACTCGGAAGAAAAAGAACATCACCATCAGAAACAAGGAGGAGGCCACGTACAGCACGACGCAGAGGCTCATGTCCAGGCTGGAGAAGCCCATCCCCAGAAAGGGTGCGGCGGCCTTGGTGTCCCTGTGGCCCCGGGGCCCGTCCAGCCCCAGATGTGGCGGCTCCGACAGGCGCGGTGTGGGGGGCAGCACCCGGGGCGGACGCGGGCTCTGGGCTCCGGGGCCTCCATCCTGCTCCTCGGCCTCGCCCGCCCCTCCCAAGGCCGCAGAGTGCGTGTGGACGAGGTTGTGGCTGCCGTAGTGCTGCTTCAGGAACAGGAGCACCTGGCCTTCGTTCCAGCTGTCCAGGCCCCTCGTCTCCTCGTGACAGGCTGGGCAGAGGTCTGGGGTGGGCCATGGGACCTTTGGAAACCTGGGGTCCTCGCTCAGGTGGCCTGGGAGCGGGAGGGACAGCAGTGGAGAGGCCATCGGAGCCCCGCTCCCCCACTCCACCCAGGGCCCCTGTGACCTCCCGTGGGGTGGAGAGCACCCTATGTAAATGCTGTTTCTTCCCTCCCACCCGCAGGCGGGTCCCCATGGCCACACTACACCTCACCTGGCCAAATCCTGCTCCTATCTGCCCAGCTACTTGTCTTCCCAAATGGCCTGTACCTAGTTCTCGCCTCTCGTCTTTGACCTTGAGGCTCCCTACTGGGCGACCCCACCTCCACTTCTCTTGGCTGCAGGGGAAGCCCATGGCCAGAGCCCGGGGCAGCCGCCTGCACTGCTGCCCAGGTGGTTCTATAGCACCTCAGGCTCAGGCGGCTCATTTCCCCTCTGGGGCCCTGAAGACCCTTGAAGGACCTGTGAAGACATTCTGGGCCCCAGCCGGTGTGGCTCAGCGGTTAGAGCGTGGGCCTGTGGACCAAAGTGTCCTAGGTTTGATTCCAGCCATGGGCATGTGCCTTGGTTGTGGTTTGTCCCCGGCCCCAGCTGGGGTTGTGCGAGTGGCAACCAGTCCATGTGTCTCTCTCCCTCCCTCCCACTGTCTGAAGATAAATGTAAAATATCTCTGGGTGAGAAAAAGCAGAACATCCTGGGCGCGAGCCCATGTCCTACGGCGAAGCCCAGAACCACCTGCGCAGGCAGGCACAGCCAGCTGCCCACTCCGGCCCCGGGCAGTCCGGAAACGGCCTCCCAGAGCGAAACCACACCGCACGGTCTCGTGGGTCTGTCCGCGAGCTGCGATGAGCCCCTATGCGCAGAGCACTCCGAGGGCTGAGAGGCCACCCGGGCCGGGCTGCACGAGGCTGAGCAGGGGATGCAGGCCCTGCCCTCTGGGGTTTGTGCCTGTGGAGAGCTGAGTATGTACAGAGGGACAAGAGGGGACCCGCCAGCACCCTCGTGTGACACCGCAGAGGCAGGGAGGTCCAGGTCTGGTCACCATCCAGAGGCCGGGGTGGGACTGGGGGACAACGGGGTGTAGGAGCCGGTTACACGAGCCCAGAGCCTGCCCCTGCTGCAGCGCGGGGGCGGGGCACACGGAGTCCTGGACTGGGGGGGGGGGGTGTCTGGCAGAGCACCGCCCGAGCGCTGCAGGGGCTGGGGGTCGGGGGACTGACCCTGCCCAGTGCACCGCAAGGCACCGCCCCTGCCTGGCAGCGACGGCAGATGCCGGCTCCCACAAAGGGGCCTCGGCCATGTGAGCAGAGCCGCAGCTCCGAGGCGGAGAAACCAATTTCCTCTAGTGCTGAGTCGTAATGTGTGTTTATAATGTGCAGGATTAAATAAAAACCAGCAGTTTAGTGGCATTTTCGACTTATCTCTATTAAGATTTCTCAGTGGAATTACTTTTAAGCCTAATTTTAATCTGGCACTGATTTGGGGACAGTCTGAACTACTTAACTCTGAGAAAACGTATGCGCCCTGCTTAGTGTTTTTTTTCCATTCTCACCCGAGGACATTTTTACATTTATCTTCAGATAGAGCAGGAGGGAGAGAGGGGGGAAGACAGAGAGAGAAACATCGATGTGAGAGAGACACCAGGGCCGGGGACAAACCACAACCAAGATACATGCCCTTGGCCGGAATCGAACCCAGGACTCTTTGGTCCACGGAGCCATACCGGCCAGGGCCTGCTTGGTGTTTTTAAGCAAAGCCACCTTGAGGGTTGGCTCACAGTCTGGGAGCGGATTGTGCCGACAGGAACTACCCTGACAGCCTCACTGGGGCCTCGTGGTCTGTCAAGGGGGAGGACGTGGTGCACGTCCACTTCCACGTGGCCTGGAGCCCCCGGTGAGAACAGCCTGGAAGCAGGGTGCTGGAGGCCTGGAAAGGTCTGTTGTTTGGGCAGCTCCTAGGAAGGTCGTCATGAAACTGACGTCTGACCAGGGCCGGTGTCCAGCTGTGAGCCTCGGGCAGGGAGCCCGGCACATGGCGGGCGGGCGGAGTGCCGCAGGTCAGGGCCATCGCTGCCCACAGGCTGGGACCTCAGAGACAGGCCACCACGTGGCTTCCGCTTACCTGCCAGGCGGCTGTTCACGAGGTTGTGTTTCTTCCAGAGCCAGAGGATGGCCTGGTCCGGGGTTTTCACGGAGCCCATGGACTCCTTGGCCATCTCCTCGAAGTGCTCGCCGCACTCCTCACACCCGAAGAAGGTGTGGACGTACCTCCTGATGGTCTGCAGCACTGCCTGAGGGTCGTCTTCGAAACCTGCGGAGGAGGCAGCACCGTGGGCGCCGTGGGGACTGTGCACTGAACCAGGACGGGCGGTGTCGGGCAGGGACAGCCTGTCTGCTCAGACACAGGAAGGAGCCAGCGCCTTCCCAGACGCCGGCTGCGCACACGTGTCCGCTGCAGGAGGCAGGCGGCCCTGGGAGCAGCCCGACGCTGAGGACCCTCGGGACGAGCGGCGCCGTCCACCAGGATCTGACCCTGTGCCATTTCCTGCCTCACAAGCAGCCCCCAAAGGCTGCCGCCGGGCACTGGCAGCTGCTCCTCTAACCTGTGGTTGTTCTGCTTCGACACCCTTGCGGAACACCAGCCGAGCGTGAACACAGCCTCCGCTCGTGCCTGAGCTTGCCGCCAGCCCACTGCGGTCTTCCTGAGGGCGGTGCTGGGACGGATGGGCAGCTGCCAGGGCTCCTTCTGGGGACCGCGGGGCAGCGAGGACCTGCGCTGCTTCCGGAACGGTTGCCACTCTCTGCGTGGGGACCTCTCCAGCAAGTACCAGCCACAGGCACAGCCCGTGTGCCCACATAAACACTGAAGGGCTTCAGCAGTGCAGCCGCCCGGGACAGGCAGCCCCCAGGGGGGCACTGACACGGGGACCCTGAGAAAATCATGGGGCAGCACAGGGCAGGGCCCAGCGGGTCCCTGCAGACGAGCAGTATGGGGGCCGAGGATACAGATAAGACCCACGAGATTAAAACAGATCGAACATCAGCATTAAAAGACACGCAGCAAGATAACTGAAAGAGACACGCCTCTGAGAGGGGCCCTCACTCCGCAGCCCCAAGCGCGGCCTCTTCGCAGGTCGACCTGAAGCCCATCCTGGTTCTGCTCCCACAGCCTGCGCCTGAGCCTGGGTGGGCGTCCCCCCCCCCCCCGTCACCAGCCTGAGACGGCTGGTCCCCCTCACCCAGAGCAGGTAGGAGCCGAGCTAACTCCCGACCGCAGAGGTTTCCAGGGCAGCCAGGCGGCGCCCACACGCAGGCTGGGCCTCGGCCCCGTGGCCCTCGTGCAGCCGGCAGACCTCCGGCCGACATCTGCTAGGCTCGCCCGTGTAATCCTGCTTTTCTTTCCCCAGCAAAGCGCTGCAGGCTCAGCCCCTAATCTTCAAAGTGGACAAGAACCACAAAGCTCTACCTGTGGGGATTAGAGGACGCGCAGGCTTTTAGCTGATGGGTTTACACGTGCAGGAAGGAGAGGAAAAACCTCCAAGACGTAATCCGGCGTCTCTGCCTGACCCAGTTCTGTGGCATGAGATGTGCTCTTGGCATCATTCAATTCACGCTGCTGCTGCCGGGCAAGCCCGTGGCATCTGTGCGCTCTGCCGTCTGCGCCGTCTCTAGAGCGTCCCGGGACGACCGGGCCCTGGCCGGCCCTGCCTGCCGCCTGCCCAGGTGCTCCCTCCAGAGCAGGTCCCAGTGACCCGAGGCTCCGGGGTACAGCTCACGGCCGAGGTGGCCCGCAGCCCGACGCCGGAACCCACTGTGCCGTGTTGCCTTCAGTTCTGTTCACGAGTTCCGAGGTTTCTCCTGAAAATCATGCTGCACTTGCTTCTGCAGGGTTCTCACGCAATGTGGAGTTTGAAAGCCTACTTCTGCCCCACCAGACGCCCGGGAAGGAGAACTCAGCACTGCCTTGAGCAGAGCAGGAGTGGCAAACATTTCTGAAGATGGCGACACGCCCTCCTGCAGGTGACTGTCCTTCCTCACCTCGAACTGGGCTAGAGAGACCTATCTGACCAACAGGACGTGGTGGGAATGATGCCGTGTGGCCCCGGAGCCCCGAGTGTGGGGGTGAGGTGGCTGGCTGCAGGACTCGGGCCTTCTGAGTCCAGACCCACAGCCTCGCCGCCCGGGCGAGCATCCGTGGATCCAACAGAAGGGCCACCTACACTGCCGGGTCCTGAAACCACGGGCAGATCCACGGTGGTGGTTGTAGCTGCAGCTTCTGAATTAGTTTGTTAGGCAGCAAAAGGTAACTGAGAGAATTTTATAATTTCACTGGAAAGAACACTGGGTTATGTGAGTCTAGACGCCACCTCTGACTTAAAATAGCATCAGGGGACCTCAGCGAGTAAGATGACGACTCAAGCAGTATACTGTGCCTCCTGCTGGGGCCAGGGCGTGTCCGTACAAGAGTCCAAAGTGGGGAAAAGTCCAGCACATTTGTTAGCGTCTTGTGTAGCATACAGAACACGAGCATTCTGCATTAGCTGTTTCCTGGTGACTGAAATTACTAACCCGACTCAAACACTTCGGTGGGGTTTCCTCTGTGGCAGGGGTCCACCCCCAGGAGCAGGCTGGGCCATGGCTGACCTCAGGCCCAGAACATGCATTGGGGGCGTGGGGGGCACACTCTGAGGAGGGCAGTGCTGGGACCGGAGTGGCCTGTGGGGAGGACCTGGGTGAGGACAGCCAGCAAGAGCACAACTGCCACCACCACCAAGCTTGGCGGGGGCGCCCTCCCCGGTTGGCCTCAGGAGACCGGGCCCTGACCGACCGACACTCTGCCTGAGCAGAGGACCTGGCTCAGCCACAGCAGATTCCTGACCCACAGACACTGTGAGTAATACGTTTGTTGTTTTAAGCTGCTAAGTTTTAGGGTAACTTGTTAAATGCAACAAAACATAAATCATACAATTTTCCACGTATGTTCACTTATCCTCATATGTTTCAAAGCAGAAGCAGAGGCACTCACATTGCAGGTGGTCCCGGCCTCGCCCTCCCCTGGGCTCCAAGACTGGGCTCCTGCCTCCTGCAGGCCAGTCACGTATATGCTTATGCGTCAGGGGTGGGAACTCGGGCTCCAGCATCAGGGCCGTGTTGGGTCAGGCAGATGCCCGAAAAGACATTGCCCTCACCTGCCTAGCAGGGGATCCCAGGGGCCACTGCTGACATGCTGCGGACATAGAGCAAAACAGCCCTCCACTGAGCTTCCGAAGGCACCTGGCAGGCGCGGTCACCGTGTGTGTGTCGGGGCCAGGGGCACCTGGGTGCGGGGAAGGCACCTGGCAGGCGGGTCACCATGTGTGTGTGTTGGGGCTGGGGGCACCTGGGTGCGGGAAGCTCACCTGTGTCATCCAGAGCTTCTGGGTGGGTCCCCGCCTGGACAGTGAGTGTGTGAAACAGTTTCCAGAGAGAACACGTGTAACCCCTCAACTCTGGTCGGCTTCCTTGACATCCAACCCACTTTATGTGATTAGTAAGGAATATTCCAGAAATCTTGGAAAAGAAAGGAAAGAACAACAGATCACTGAACTGCTAGAATTAACAATAGCTGGTAAATGTCCTCTGACTGGCGGTGGTTACACATGGGGTCATTTATCGAAGCCATGGGAACTCCCAACATGCTCACAGCAGTGTGAGCCGGCCACGGCCACGGCCACGGCCACAGCCACGTGATGAGGAAGGCCCTGGGTCTGCTATGAAGCTCTTGGAGACCCTCCCTCTGAGAGCCCGGCCTGCAAGGCAGCTCAGCAGGGCTTCCACACTCTTACAAAACATATCATTTTTATTAATTTTTAGGTGTAAAATTCTGAGTTTACCCAAAATTTAATTAAAAAAAAAAAAAAAAGCCCGGCCCTGGCCGGTTTGGCTCAGCGGTTAGAGCGCCGGCCTGCGGTCCGGAGAGACCCGGATTCAGTTCCCGCTAAGGGCATGTACCTCGGTTGCAGTTTGTCCCCGGCCCTGGTCGGTTGTGTGGGTGGCAGCCACTCGATGTGTCCCTTTCACATCGATGTTTCTCTCTCTCTCTCTCTGTTCCTCTCTCTCTCCCACTCTACCTGAACAAAAAATGGAAAAATGTCCTCCGGTGAGGATAAAAAAAAGCCCGGGTGCCACAGTGCTGAGAAACCGCCGCGGGCTGTCGGCAGCTGTCCTTGACCCGAGCGCTCAGGAGGAGGGAGAGCACCAGAGACGGAGGAGGGAGTGGACAGCAGGTGTCATGGGGACAGGCACAGTGAGGACGCGGAGGGTCGCGGGGGACGCCGACGCCCCGGGCGTGACAGGACTGTGGCCGCAGGAGCCGGGAGGGTGCTCACCCGCATCTTGTTGTTGACCAGGTCCAGGATGGCGTTGTAGGGGACCCTGTCCAGGGGCAGGCTGGCCAGCCACTCTTGCAGCATCTCCAGCAGCTTCCTGACGGGCGGCCGGCCGGGGAACAGCTGAGCGAGGAAGCACCGACTTAGACACTACTTGGAAAGTGTGCGCCGCTCAGGCTCCAGGCAACGTGTGCGACCTGCCGGCTCACGCGTGTCGGTGCTCAGGCCGGGCAGCGCCCAGCCTGGACCCCGCACTGAGGCACCGCTCCTGTCAGCCGGCGCTGCGGAAGGGCTGAGAGCCGGAGCGCATCCTGCGGGACGCCGAGACAACAGCAGGACGGCGCCGTCAGCTCCGCACAACCTCTTTGTCGACATGGGTCACCCAGCACCACGGTCAATTCACCAGCATTTAATTTCAAGTTTAAGTCAACTCCAGAAGTGATTAGGATGATGTATGGCCACCCTGACCACAGAGCTGACCCGGGTGGCAGCTGAATGAAGGGACGACACAGGAGGCCCAGCAGCTCCGTGACGGGCAGACAGGGGAGCTCTCTTTTGGGGGGGTACCCCGGACTCCTGGACTTGGGATCCACGGCGGGTCAGACCCGTCCCAACAGCCGCCGTCTGCTCCTCTGAGATGCACAAGGCGACTCACTCTCCCTGAACACAAATCCCACCTCCCTCCTTTCCTCAACACTCACCGAGCAAACTGACCAAAGTGTTGAATATGAATCTCTGTTCAGGGAATTTACAAGAGGCAAACATATCTGTTAAAATTAAGCCTCCTTATCTCTTAGATAATGACAAGTATCCAGGTTGCAGTGTTGTAACCGGTGACCACCAGGTCTCCAAGGTGACCGCAGGTGGGGACAGGCCTGGGCAGGGATACCCCAGAGGTCAGAGAGCAGAGGGGCCACGGCCGGGTCTAGACGGCTGCTGAGGCCAAGAGAACAAGGGCTCAAGTCCATTCCCAGGAACCCGGGGGATGGCCTCCCACTTCCCACTGCTCTGCCCCCCAGAGCTGTTCTGGGCCAAGAAAACAACAGTGAGCCACGGGTTCCAGCCCCGGAGCTAAGAGTTCTCGGCAGGAACTGAGCCTGAGCGAACACGAGCCACCACTGCCCCACCTCCCTCGAGTGGTGGAGGGCCGGCCAGCCCACCGCACAGGTCCTGGCCCACACGACAGACCCCAGTGAGTGAGGACGGTGGCTGCGCCTGTGCCCCGAGGGAGCTGCCTGCCTGCAGCTCGTCACTGGGTTACTGGCTCCATCACACCTCGAGTCCCAGGGCCACGCCGTTTCCACCACACTCACCTCCGACCTGAGCCAGTGCCCCTCACATCACCCCTCCTGGGACCCCTGCTCAGGGCCCTCAGGTTTGGTCCACAGGAGGGCAGGGCTGTGTGCGCCATGTCCCCAGTGCCCAGAGCAGGGTCAGGTGCATGCAGGTTGCGGGCAGAGTGCACGCCCAGCTCAGGTCGGCTTCATTCCCAGGGATCACGGGCCAAGCTCCAGCCCAGAGCAGACCCCACACACCTTGGCAACGATGGTGACAAAGTCCTTCAGTGTCTTCAGCTCAGCCCCAGCCAGGGTCCTGTGGGTGGCCAGCTCCACCCTCAGGAGGTAGTGCAGCCCCGACTCCAGGTCCGCTGTGTACTGCTTTGACCTGAGAATGAGTGTCATAAAGCTAGGTATGAACGACCTTCTCTCTTTTTGAAAATATATTTTTTATTGATTTTTTAGAGAGAGGAAGGGAGAGGGAATAGAAACATCGAGATGGGCCACCCCCTGCACGCCCCCTACTGGGGATTGAGCCCACAACCTGGGCCTGTGCCCTGACCGTGAATTAAACTGGACCTCTCAGTCCTTGGAGCCACACAGGCCAGGCCAACGACCTTCTCTTTGCGAGAATCCCCCACTCCCCAGGGAGATGTTGCTGATTCCTCAACAGCCAACTGTGGCTGCTGGGCTCCCGGGGGACTCGAGCCACCAGCGCACCGAGCCCACGGCCTCCCTGTCCACACCACAGCCTCCCCCACGGCTCACGTCCGAAGGGAACACTTGCCTGTCAAACTCTCTCCACTCCACGACTTCAGAATTTTCTTCATTTGGCTTCTCGGGCAATGCAAGTGATTTTTTCCTCACATCCGGCAACAACTTCAAATAAGAGGAAAAGAATGACCGGAGAGGCTTCACGCTGCAAGAAAGGGGTGGGTGGGTGTGGGCTGAGCCGGCGTCGGAGCCTGGCCCTGAGCTACTCGTCACCGTGTCCCAGGCTGGGGCCTCGGAGCTGGCCTCACCCCAAGGACGTTGGGCACACCCACACAGCACTGAGTCCAGCTGTTCAGGGGCATCCAGTCGGTTTATAAAACTGGCTGAGACCTGCCAGTGTCAGCTTCATGACACGTGGGAGTTGGAGCCTCAGGGGGTCCCGAGCCTGCTGCGCTTGTGGCCAAGTGGACAGGTGGGACACGCCCGAGGACGGGTAAAGTTGTACCGAGCACGTGTAATAGCTCAGGGGTCACCCAGAGACGGCAGGTAAAAAATATCAACATCCTTACAGGTTAAATTGTACAGATAACACTTTCAACATAAAATGATCATTTTCTTCAGAACAAAATAGCGGTGTTCCGGGACGCTCTGCCAAGGGCAGCGCTGGGCTAGGAGCCTGGCCCCGGCCGGCAGCCTCTGCTGCAGGCCCAGGTGCTCAGAGTGTCCTGACAAGTTCAACGGCAGAGCGTGACACAGGTCGGCCCGAGTCCACAAAGATCCTGCTTACCCGGAATTGGTGCATTTTTTCTTTTTTGTCAAGAACAGAAATACACCTTAGAAACTGTGGTCCACTCGAGGCTTCTGGGGAGGCACCCTTCCTGCCCCAGTTAAACTGCCAGAAACCCTTCAGGGTCTCCCAGCAGGGTGAGCCTTCTCCACCGCAAGAGGGAGGACCCGGCAGAGAGCACAGCTTCAGGACGTGACCTGACCCTCTGACCTATGACCTTTCCCCGACCTGTTCCAAGTCCAGTTTATCTTTGGGGCCCCCAGGCACCCAGTGCAGAGGCAAATGGTGGTGTCATGGTTTCTGTGGATCTCAGCAAGAGGAGGGCTGTGAGGGAGGGGTGCCCGATCCCACCTGAGCCCCCCGCTCTTCTGGTCAAGGGGCTGTGCTCCCCCACTGACAGAGAGACCATGTCTGGCCAGAGTGAGCTCCTGCCCTGGCGGGTTCCGGGATGCCACCTTGTATCAAAACAGTCCTTAAGCCAAACTGCACTTACATGTTGACCAACCCGTGTGACCCATTTGGGTAAATCAGGTAACAGGAAGGAACAGAAGAAACACCCAGTTTCTCCAGAAAGGCTTGGTCTGTGTCCAGGGCTCTCTTCACCACGACGTTCTCGTAAGGGATCAGGTCCAGAATCACCTGGATGGGAGAGAATGCGTCACCTCTTCTGCGGATGGTGGTGGGACACGAACAGGAGTGGCGTGTTCGCAGAAATCAGAAATCTGTCATCTGGAATAATCTGTCTTCTCCACCACGAGACCGTCGTCTACAGTATTGATCCCACTTTAAGACAACTGACCGAGAGCACAGCACAGGCAGAAACCACAGTCTGGCCCCGCGTCTCAGACTGTCCAAGGAAACACCGGTCAGCGGACTGTGCTGCACTGTCCCAGCCAGCACGTCCTCCACAAAACTGACCTCATCCAACGAGCACACTCCCCACCTGCACAAGTGGGCCATGTGGCCGTGAACCCTCAGCCTGTGCCCTGTGTGGGGAGATCCCCAGCACCCCCAGACAGCAGCATAGCCCTGGTCTCTCTGCCTTCGTTACCGGAGCTCACAGACAAGGAACCGAGTCCGGGCAGAGGGCAGAGGGCAGAGGGTAGAGAATAGAGGGACACGGCTCCGAGCTGAGGGCACAGCTCAAAGACGTGCAGCTAAGGAACTGCTGTCGTCCACCCTGGCATCTCTCTGGTTCCTCACTAAGAAGGCCACACACAATGACAGGAGAGAACCAGTCTCACAACAGATAGAAACACATTTTATAGAATGTAGAATTTGGCAAAAAAGTTGAGAGTTCAGAATATAGCAAAAAAACAAAACAAAAAAAACCTTGACAACAGAGCATAAGGAATAAAGCACCACCTCCCAGCCCAGGCCCCACCCGGGGGTGAGGCAATGCTTGCGACCTGCTCCTGTCCTGCCCCATAGGATGTGCGAGGACACAGGCTGGACACGTGCGACTCTGCCCACACTAGGTTCACACCAGGCAGGGCGGCCTGATTAGGACGCTGTCCCCTGTGGACGCTCCCCCACTCTGTCTTCTCCAGGAACAGTCAAGTTGCCGAGTGGCACAGCTACCGTCGTCTTCGCCACCCAGGAGTCTTGTCCCAAGCCCCGTGCTGAACCCATCACGCCACAGGACAGGACAGGATGACAGGATGCCCACACGATACCTCACGTCCAACATACGAGCTGCTGCTCTCAAACAGAATAGCCACGTAGCGGCCATCACGGTTGTCAATGAGGGAAAGAACATCACTGGGCCTTTAAGAGGGAAAAAGGCTTTTAGTGCTTCCGAGAACAGCGAGCTGGCCACCAGGCACTAGCGCATTCCACTTAACACACACCCACATCGCACAGAATTAAATTGGACTCAATGCGCCACTTTTTTTTTTGACAGAACTGCGCACCGAACAGGAGCCAACGCGGGGCAGGCAGGAGGCCTGTTCGCCTCCGTGTGGTTCTGCAGGAAGTCGATCATGGCCTGTCTCATGGTCTGCAGGTCTCGGTCGGGCCCTGGGGGGAGAAGCAACGCCATCACCACTGTGACCTCACTGCACGCCACCCCAGCAGGGCCCCACTGAGGGTGCCACGCCCACCGCAGAGTGAGGTGGAGTCACGACAGGAGGCTGCCCGGTGAGAGCGAAGGGAACAGGATGTGCGGGGACACAGGCCGGACACGTGCGACTCTGCCCACACCAGGTTCACAGCAGGCAGGACAGCCTGATTAGGGTGCTGTCTACTGTGGACTCACTGGCCACGTTCTGGGGCGTGATCTGGGTGCTGGCTACCGGGTGGGCTCACGTATAGAAACTTCACCCAGTGTGCACTTCTTCAATACTGTTTTCAATTACAAAGTCTTCTTTTAAAAAATGTCACCACGTGTCTGCCAAGGAAGGCAGAGCACAGAATAAACCCTTCCTGCGGAGGCCGTGCCTGTCTGAGCTGGCGGGGCTGGTGGGGGCGGGCAGGGGCGGGCAGCGTGGGGTGGGCGTCAGGAGAGCTCTCCAGGCTCCTGAGCCATTTTTACTCTGATGGGTTTTTGAGGCAAATCTAAGTGTAAAATGCATCGCTTATGTCCTTACCTTTAAAATTTTCTCCAGTTGTAAAGTCCTTTGTAAATGCTTTAAAATACTACGAAGAAAAACACAGAACACATAAGGAACATGCCTGGTGTCTGTGTCACGTTGATCTTTAGCAGCAAAGCAAGCATCTCTAAGACAAGCCGCAGCTGCCTCCCTCCTGAACACCTGCCCGAGTCAGCGAGGCCCCAGACGAGGGACCTGAGGCTGTGTCTCTGTGGATGTTAGGCTCCCTGCCAGACTGAGGGCGTGGCACCCACCAGAAGTCTGATATTCACACGTTCTGACCCAACATGGCTAGAACCACAAAGACAGCACCCTCCCTGACTCTGGTGTGGAAGGTGTGCCCAATGGTTTCACTCTGACGACACAAAGGGTTCCGGGGAAGATGAGACACAAACGAGTATCTCTGAACATAAGAAAGAACTTTTCGCCCTGGCTGGTTTGGCTCAGCGGTTAGAGTGCTGGCCTGCAGACCAGAGAGTCTTGGGTTTGGTTCCCGCTAGGGGTATGTACCCTGGTTGCGGTTCGTCCCTGGCCCCGGTTGGGGTCACGTGGGTGGCAGCTGGTCGATGTGTCCGTCTCACATCGATGTTTCTCTCTCCCTCCCTCTCTATCTGAAGATAAATGCAAAAGTGTCCTCAGGTGAGGATAAAAAAAAAAGAACAAACTTTCTTTTTTTTTTTTTTTTATCCTCACCCGAGGACATTTTTCCATTTTTTGTTCAGATAGAGTGGGAGGGAGAGAGAGGAACAGAGAGAGAGAGGGAAACATCGATGTGAAAGGGACACATCGAGTGGCTGCCACCCGCACGACCAACCAGGGCCGGGGACAAACTGCAACCGAGGTACGTGCCCTTAGCGGGAACCGAACCCGGGTCTCTCCGGACCGCAGGCCGACGCTCTAACCGCTGAGCCAAACCGGCCAAGGCCAAACTTTCGATTAAAATGAAAAATCTTCTTCACTGAGGACAGTCATGAATGGGTGAAGCCGCGCCGATACTCACAGATGGAAAGAGCCGAGCACTGTGCACGTGCAAAGGGCTTTGCTAACAAGTCAGAGATGAGCAAAGGACCAAGAGGAAACGGGCAAACCACAGGAGCACGCCACAGACAGATGAGGCGCTGCCCCTGGTCAGCCCCTGCGCAGGGACACCTGTGCCCAGAGGGACTCTGCCCCAAACAACGGGGACACGTGAGTGCCTTCACAGCAGCGAAGCCTGAACAGCCAAGAGGCAGAGATGGGGGGACAACGAAGGGCTCTGGGACAGTGTGGGTGACTGGGCGACGCCCTGTCCGTAGGAGCCCGGCCTCTAGCAGGGCCATGCAGTGTGCATGTGGACAGCAAACAGGAGCGCATTCGAGGCGGTCACCTCGGACAGGGGCCAGAGGACAGTCCACAGGGCCTGAGGGGCTGGGCAGCGGCGGCTCTGTGTGAGGTCCCGTGAACAGTGGGGGGGGGAAGCGCTCTGGACGCAGCCACAGAGCACAGGCTCCAGGGCTGAAAAGGGCAGGGCCACAGGCTCCCGCAGAGCCGCCCTTTCTCTGAGCTGTGACTTGCTGTGGAGCTGTGACTTGCTGTGGCCGTGCACACGCACACCCTGTACACGGTCTCCACCTTCCAGATTCCTTAACCCTCTGCCCCCTAGTGGGAGAGATGGGCACAGGCCTGACTGGGGGCCCACATGGCATGTTCAGGGCAGCAGGGCTGGGCACCGTACCAGGGGTCCTGTGGGCACCCAGACAGGTCAGCATGCGTGGCACATGGAGGAGCTGCCTCACATGGGCCGCACGTGGGGGTGGGGGAAGCACCGGGTGGAAAGACCCCAGACGGGGACTCTAAGAGCAGTCCTGACCACCTACCCACAGGTGCAGACCCACAACGTGTCCAACCCCACGGGGTGGGACGAAAGAGGGACCCTCTGCAAACAGCAATTCCCACCATGTTGGCAGGAGTGCCCCAGTGCTGAAGACGGAGGCACTGCCAGGCGAGCTCCAGCTGGCGCTGCGAGGGCAGGGGGCGCTCACCCGGAAGCTGGGGTAGAAGCGGACGTCGTAGGCCTGGCACACCTCGTGGTTCCTTTCCTCCGCACAGTCCAGGGCGGCGACGCGGATCGCGGCGGCCCAGTCTGAAAACAGGGGCAAGACCTCGGTGTGGCGGGCGCTGGGCTGGCCAGCCCCTCCCGCCCTTCCATGCACAGAACATTCCCATGTCCAGTTGGGAAGAGGAAAAAGCCTGGACCTCAGGCCACCACGTTGCTACCCTGGAGACCAGAGCACACGACCTGCAGAGCTGGTCTCCTCGAAGCCGCCAGCGCTGGGGGCAGAGGCACTGCCCCCCCAAGTGGTCCCCGTGCTTCCCCAGGCGCCTCCCACAAACCATGAGCACTGTCGCCATTCTTGGGAGTAGAAAAGGAGCTGTTTGAAATACACCTGCATTTTTTTTTAATCCTCACCTGAGGATATTTTTCCAATTATCATCAGATAGAGAGGGAGGGGGAAAGGGAGAGAGAGAGAGAGAGAGAAACATCAACTGGTTGCCTCCTGCATAATCCAACCAGGGGGCCACGGATAAACTGCAACCGAGGTAGGTGCCCTTGACCGGAACCGAATCCATGACTCATTGGTCCGCAGGCTGACGCTCTAACTGCAGAGCCAAACCAGCCAGGGCTAAAGTTTTTTTTTTAAATCCTCACCCGAGGACATATTTATTGATTTTAGAGGTGGAGGAAGGGAGAGAGAGAAACATTGATCTATTGCCTCCCATATGCTCCTGACTGGAGATCAAACCCGAAATCTAGGTATGTGCCCTGACTGGGAATCAAACCTGCAACCTTTTGGTGTACAATGCTCCAACCCACTGAGCCACCTGGCCAGGGCTAAAGTCTTTATGATGGAAAATTCCCAGCACGGAAAGAAACAGAGAGAACACGTGACCATCCGTGGGCCCCCGTCAGCTGCCGTGGATCATGTCCACCAGCTGTACCTCTCAAGGACAAGACTCTTCACCCAGCATTCGCTACGGCCGTTATCACAGCAAGTCGTCAAGCAGGCTCCAACAGCAACACACATCCAGCTAGGATCCAAAGCTCCCTAACTGTCTCCTTTTTGCTGAAATTGTTTGAATTGAGTCCAAATGAGGCTGTTCGTTGTGACTGGCCGACACGTCTGCCATCTCCTGTCCCCAAGGCTGCACTGCTCATGGAAGGGCCCAGCTCCTCTGCACTGCAGTCTGCCACCACTGGGCTCAGCGGACTGCGCCTGGCCCCCCGACTTTCCGTACACTTGCGTACCTACATCAGACTGCGTCCGGCTCTCTTGGGGAGTACTGCCAGGCGGGTGCATGGCCCCTTCTCCCTGACCCCCGAGTGCGTGCGATCCCAGGGGCGCAGCCAGAGGAGGTGGCTCGCTCCTTCCGCCTCACTGACAGGTGGGCAGCTTCTCACAGTGGCACCTGGGCTTATGGCGGCCCCGAGGCAAGGCTCACACGGGAGGAAGTGCCAGCTCATCCCTTTAGTCACCAGTTTCAAAGGAATGGTTCCACAACAGCCTCCAAAGGTGACTTGAGAGGTTTCCCCTTTACAAGATTTGTTCCCTTTCTCTTGGATGATCAGACTGATCACACCACCAAGGGCCCTTCCAGAACGCTTCCTGGCTCCCTGCCCTGTGGGGCGGCCTGAGGAGGCAGGACCCACGAGCCAGAGACACAGCAGCAGAGCTCACAGTGGGGACCAGGCCACTTCTGGGCCAGGTGAATCCTGCTCACCTTCTTCTGCAGCTGTGACCTCTGAGTGGGTCTCACAACCGCCATCACTGAGAAACCGACAATGCTGCCTGTGTCCCTACAGCACACCCCAGCGTGAACCAGCAACGTGGTAAAAAACCAGCTGTTTCCTCTGAGTTCTGCTACGATCTAAAATGTCAGAGGTTAGCCTAGCAGGTGTGGCTCATTCAACTGAGCGTCTTCCCATGGGCTGGGAGGTCCTGGTTCGATTCCTGGTCAGGGCACATGCCCGAGTTGCTGGCTCCATCCCCAGTAGGGGGTGTGCAAGGGGCAGCCAATCCATGTTTCTCTCTCTCCCTTCCTCTCTTGCTAAAAAAAATACATAAATAAAACGTCTGAGGTTATATGAAAAACTGACCAGTCTCTAGACACTACACAAATAAGAAGGCTTTCACATGTTACCAATTCAGTAACTTGTATTTTTCACCTAACATGCCACTGTTGCTTACATAGGTGTACTTTTTTTTTCTGTGATTATAAAAAAATTAACCAATATTAATATATGAAAAGGGACAAGTAACAAGAACATGAAAGCTATGCTTCACAATTAATGACTGAACATCACGAGCCTTGGTAAAACCAATTCATGTCCGAGACCATTTTACACGGATGGAAAAGAACCGTCACAGGCCCTCCTGAACCAGAGGTCACACCCTCCCGGAGGCTCGAGTTACATGGACCACAGGAAGGACAGTTAATGCTGGACGCAGCAGCGCAGCAGATGGCCGGCGCTGAGGTGCGGCCCAGCACCTCCTCTGACGCTCAGCCGAGGGCCCTGTCCAAGCCTGCGTCTCTGCCCCTCACCCGGGTGCCACCTCTCCTGCTCAGGACCAGGGCTTCACTGCCCCCTGGGAATTTCCATGACACACTTTCATCTCACGCTTGAGGAGGAAAAGCACTGCACCCCCAAGAGTGTGTCAGCAATGGAGACACAGAAAGACAATGCTCACTCGGTGCCCGAGGGTGTGCGCTGCGACTTGCCACGCTGTGGCTGGCCCGCTGTGAAAAGGGTGCGGTGGGACCATGCCCACTGCTCGTCCAGTTGCTCAGTGTCTCCACTCACAAAGTTCCCAGTGCAAGGAGACTCCAAACAGCACCCCGTGAAGCTCGCTTGTCCCAACGCTGGCAGTGAAATGCGGCCAAACAAGAAACACGACCACAGCCAGGTTGGTGACAGCACTTCAGTAGCCTCCTGAGCCTGACACAGCTCGTGCCTGGCAGGATCAACCATCAGCCCTGGGGCTCAACAACTTCATCCCCTGAAGGCAGAAGCCCAGGTGCAGAAGAAAGCCCGCTCCACAACAGAAGGCTGGCAAAGGCTCGCCCGCAGACCTGGGCAGCGCCTCTTGGGCAGCCCTGGGCTCTGGGCACACAGAACCTTCTGCGTGCTGCACTCCATACTCATTCCCTAACATCAACATTGTAACCACCGCCCTCTGGCCTTGGAGATTTTGGAGGATCTCCAATGGCACGGATCATTGCAGAGCATTGACCTTCTCCTTTATCCAAGTCCCTGGGGGTCAGGGTGAGCTGGGTGGAGGGAGGGTGGCTGACCCGTGGCATGTGAACTCTTGACCTCTCCCCTGCACCCCACCCCAGACTGCATGTGTCACTGCCCGCTGCTCTCTCCATTTGGCTGTCCCAGGCACCCTCCCCAAAATGCAACCAAGAGTCCTGATCCTCTGCCTACCTACCCTGTGCCCACTCCACCCCCAGAAGTGGGGACCCAGCTACCCTCCTGCAGCACCAGCCCAGAGGGCCCGGTTGAGCAGCAGAGGGGTGTCAGGTGGCAGGGTGGTGGGCTCGGGGGACAGAGCAGGCAATCTGGCCATAGAGGCCCCTCTGCAGGGAAAGCAGAGGCCATGAAGACGGCAGTCACCACCTTGGGCTTCCAGCCTCCAGAACTCCGCTGCCTCCCCAGCTCCAGGAGGCAGGCTCGCCCTCTGAAGCAGGCACAAGGCAGGGGGCTCAGAATGAAGGAGGAGCTCACTTTCTGCAGGCGTGTAAGCTGCTTGCTCCTGCTGTGCTGGCTGCCCTCAGAGAGCAGCAGGAAACCTCACCTGCGACACCTCTGACAATGGAATCCTGGGAAGCTCGTCAGTGCAGGGATCCACACGGGGTTCGCCCTGCACCAGCTCCTGAGCATGGTTTTCAAAAGCCAAGGTCCAACGTGGACAACACGAACTGCACCAATGCAGAACGAACCCGCTGAGGAAGCTGGACAGGGCTGAGGACACTGGCGTGGACACACAGCCTGGCTGAGACAAACCTGCGTGAGCACCCAAGGCTCTCCCAGCGTCCCCTCTGTTACCTCTGCGGGCCTCAGGCCCAGGTCTCTAGAGAGCAGCCACAGGGCAGGTCGTAGGACTCCCTCTTACACCCACTCTTCCTTCTTGCTGCTCAGGAACAAGAAGTCCTTCTACTGGCCTATGAGCCTGGAGCTGCTGATCCCACCTGTGGCCCAGGCCATCAGAGCCCCCAGTTGACCACCCTGGCCCCTTTCAGCCCTCTGGACACAGCAGTGCTGGTTCTGCCTGTCTCAGGGCCTTTGCACGTGTCACCTCTCATGTGTTGTCCCTCGCTTGGCTCTGTGTATCATCTTTGGGTCTCAAACGCCACCCCTCCGAGGTTTTCCTCCATAGGCCTATGTGAACCTCATTACCCTGTTATTTCCCAGGACTGATCACTTGCAGCCAACCAACCTATTCACTCTCTTCTGTTCACTCCTGTCCCTCCTCGAGCAGGGGCTCACTGGGGCATGCCCGCTGGTCACTGCTTTCTGCACCCAGCACAGTACGCACGCGAGGAGCACTTGGGACAAGGTCCGCGAACCACCGCAGAGCAGACACCCAGCCTCGCAGGGAGCTCACTGGATGGAACACACTGGCTGGGACAGGACGTGCAGGGGCCATGGCCCGCCTGGCTTCTACGACCCCTGAGACTCCACGAGTCCATCTGCAACTGCCACTCCACATACACATGTCCCCCAGAACTGGGCTGCCGACCTGGTGGAGGGGCACGCTGACCCTCCTCAGGCCTTTGTCTTTCAAAGAAGGCCCGTCTGTGCGAGGCCACCAAACACAGACAGGGAGGGTTTCAGTCACAGTCACTGCAAGTCTCCGGGCAGATGGACGGCATTCAGGGAACACAAAAGAGAGACACTCTCTGTTCCCAAATAAAATGAAGCCATTGCAAGGGTTTGCTTCAGGGTATCTGCCTCATTCAGCTGGGCCCTCCCCTCCTCCTGCCCTCCCACCTGTCTGGCTCCCAGCACACAAAGGAAACAACTCTGCACTGGAAGCACAGTGTCTGCCTCCAGACTTCAGGCCGCCCCAGCTACATGTGGGGGTTTCGGGCTGCCCGCCAGGGGCACCCGCCAGCAGTGGCCATGGCCTACTCCTCACTTCCATTCACAAACCTATTTTTAGTACCACAAGCTTAAAAAAATACTTGTGAAATAATTGAGCTTCCAAATACAGTAGACTGAAATTAATTTCAAGCTTACTTGCAAAATAACCATATAACTTAACCTAACCGGATTAAACCTTTTACTATTACTTGTCGTGTTCCAATGGAAAACTCTATGGAAGTCTGATCTATGGTCAAACATCACTTAGTTCTGGAATGACGGCAGTAAAGCTTTCTAACCTCCCAGGGTTAAAAGAACACACAGGATTGTTGGTTTCAAGGCAAACAACCCAGTATGGCTTCTCTGTCCTTGTGCAGAGTCAGGCGATATGAGGTTCCCAGTCCCACAGTCCAGCCACGGGAGGGCAGGGCCTTCTCTCACCTGGTGCAGGTCCCTTCCTGGCCAAGCAAAGGTCTTTTCAGAGAAGCTCCAAGTCAAGCCACAACACAGACTAGGGTAGAAACTCAGCTCCCATACTAACAAGCAGGAAAGAGCACAGGTTATCCAGATGCTACCCATCCAGAGTCCAGGCATGTTCTTAGCCTCACCTGAGCCAAGGGCGCAACTGGTCCTCTGTCCCTCGTGTTTGGCTCAGTGAGGTTAAACTCAGGCTGTATAGGGTCACAGCAGGCACTCCAGAGCGACTCTGGGACGTGAATCGTGTCTTGTTGGTTAAGTGCCAAAGCATCACAACGGCAAGGGCTTTGGAGAGTAAGTCCCACACTCTCCAGGGCCAAGGCAGAGCCAGCAGCATTCATGACTTGGTCTGCTCCAGCCAATGCGTTAGCCTGCGGGTGGAGATCCTCTGGACGCGGCTGTGATGAGGCTGGGTCTCACAGGTGCATCGGGGCCCACGGTGGGAGGATGTAGCACTGCCTGCCCCGAACCTGCCCTTCCAGCCACTCCAGCCCAGGTGAGCTCCCACAGCCCTCCTGGCACCCTCCACCTAGACACACTCCTGCAGGTCATTCCTGCTGCCATCAGCACCCCATCCTCCCCCAGACCCCCATTCCTTCTTCCTGTGAACAGAGACACTGGGCCCATGGGGAACACTGAGTGCCCCAGTTCATCACCAAGAAGGCTGCAGCCTCACCACACAGAAGCCAAGTCCAGAGCAGGTGCTGAAGAGCTCAGAGGGAGGCAGGACCGAGAGCAGACAGCACGCGGCCGTGAGCCGAAGGTTCCCCGATCCGGGCCCCATCCTGTCCTCTGCAGACACAGGGAGTGTGCCCTTGGCCCTCTGGAGTCACCCATCCTGTCATTCAGCTATGCGAGCATCAGTGGGGGACTCTGTTTCACTCAGCCTCATGGTATCACCATCTGACATAAGCAGATGGGGAAGACAAGGTGTGTGTAGTGGTGACCACCCGGCAGGTCTCAGCTCCCCTTCTAACCTCTTCTCCACAATCCCAGGGCAGTTACAGAAAACCTGCCCTTGCTTCCCTGGGGGTATGGTGGCCCTCAGAGGGACACCCCTTGTGTAGATCCATCTGTGCAGAGATGCTCCAGAGACGTCTCGGGATGGGGGCCACCCCCCGCTCAGGAGAAGCACACAGGCTGCGCTAATGGCACAGCGCCGGGCTGAAGCATGGTTGGGAACTCGACAGGGTTCTATTGGTGAGTCCTTAAAAGTGACAGGCCTGGGCAGACCTGCAGGGCCCGGAGCAATGTAGACCTCTCATTGGTCAAGCCACCTTCCTGTGTTTTGAGAGCACGTTTATTAAAGCTGGGCACAGTGAAACAAAAAAGTGCTTGGGATACAAGAAGCCACTTGAGAGCCTGGGCTAGGCTGCTGTGGCTCACGGGGAAGTCAGAGGAAAGGGGGCCTTGGAGACAGGTTCAGGGGGTCAGCCCGGGATGAGCGGCCGCTGCCCATTGCTGCCCTGGCTGCAAGTCCCATGGGATGGGGACTGAGACTTCAGGAGATGCACGCCTGAGAGGGAAGAAAGACGCCAGGAGAGAGAGCGCTCAGGTCACCTTCTTATATGGAATAACATTTCTTTAAAAATCTTGACAATGTCAATGAAGAGCTAAAGTTCAATCCAAATCCAGTAAAACAAAGGTGCCCAAGCTGTGACCAGAGGCCCTGCCGAGCTGGGGAGGAGCCGCATCCTCTGCAGACCACCCTCTGGGGCTTTCTGCTCCTTCTAAGCAAATGGAGGGAAGTTAGGAGCGAGCAGGGATAAGCAGATGCTCACCTAGCTCAGTGCCCCCCACTGGCCACCCCAAGGAACTGACTAGCCAGGGAGCAGAGGCTGTACCAGAACCACCCACTTTCTAGCAGCTACTCAGGTGCAGAGTGTGAGGAGGGCAGCGGATGGGGATGCTGGTGGATACTCCCCAGTCCAAGGTGTGCGTGCCCTGGGAGGCTCACTGGACAGCCCAGTTCACAGCGACTGACTGGGACCAAAGCGGTGACAACTGAGTGATGACTCCACTTAGACTTGTTAAAGAGAGAACCACAATCACTCGTGCTAAGTTCATGACACGGAACCTTAACACTTGACCTAACTGCAGTTCCAGCCCCTCCTGGAGTGGAGTTCTAATCCAGTCTGGAATGTCCTGATCCACACTAGTTGGGTCATCTGCCTGAAATAATCCACTCTTAACTGTTTAGCCCTACCCTTCTGCCTATGAAACCTTCTATTCTGTACACCCCCTCAGAGAGACCTTTTAGTTGCTAGATGGGATGTTACCCGATCCATCAATTGCTCAATAGAGCCAATTAGATCTTTATATTTACTGGGTTGAACTTTATATTTTAACAGACTGGACCACAGAACCATGGGGGACCACAGGGAACACAGCTCAGAGCAGAGGGGCTGCCACTGACTTCATGGTGAGGGTGAGGATGGTTCCTCACACTCATTCCACAGGTAGTGGGCTGAAATGAGGCCCACACAAAGGGTCCCGCGGTCAAGCACAGGGAAGCAAAGGGTGAGCTGTCTGATTCCCGCGCTGAGGAACTTTAGAGTGCAGGTCACCCATGAAGGGGAGCCACTGCCACCTTCCCTGTCTCCTCGGCCATGGCCGTTTCTGAGGGTGTCTTGCAGGGTGTCCCAGGGAACAGTGAGCCTCCAACTTTGGGACTTGCACTGACAGGCTGTTGGGCCTCACGCCCAGAGCTTCTGACCCAATGGGACTGGATTGAGGCTGACAACATGCATTTCTATCAAGTCCCCAAATGGGACAGTCCCAGTCAGAGCAGACACTCAGGCAGCCCTGCTAGCAGTGTGGCTCTTGGAACCGGCTGCCAACCCCCAGGCCCCTGCCTTCTCACACTGCTCTCATCTTCTGGGCCACATCTGCCTCCGGTCTCAGGCCTCATTTTTCTGGCCTGTACTTGGACAATGTACAACCCTTTTAAGATAACCTTGTTTAGCTAATAGTTAAGTTAATCACACCACTTGGTATGGATTTGATGTTTCACTTTGAGAAGTAACTAATCTTCCAAGTTCCAGACCCAATTTTCAAGGCTCCTCACATGCTGGCTCAACTAAGGAATAGTTTGCAATACTTTAATCACAGTTTACAATTTTTGTATTTCTGAAACTAAAATAAAAAACTGCAAAGAGTAGGTGACAAAGGTCTGTCTTACCAGAACTACCTGCATTTTAATTGATACATCTGTTCCTGTCACCAAATAACAAATGAGAACGGAAAAGTTCTTTGTATTATTAAAGTGACTGTTCACAAAGCAAAGGCTTAAAAAAAAAACCAAAACCCAAAAACCTGTTTAGGAGTTCTCTGTCCATTCTCAGTCTCGGGTCTCAGCTGTGACTAGCACAGAGCACTAGGGACTTAGAACATGGGATCGAAGAACAAACCCTGCAGAATTCAAAGGCCCCAACACCCTGAGTTAAGATGAGAATGCACCGAAATAAAATCATTTACAATTATACACAAAAACCCTACTCAGACTTCTTTAAAGTTTCTTTGTGAATCAGTTTGGTTATGAGAAAACTAAAACAGGGTTGGATACAAGACTTAAAACAAAGGTAGGAAGGAAACATAGTAATTTGTTACTTTCCTGCCTACTGAAATGCATAATTACAGGTTGCTCGACATCAACAAGAGTCCTGCCAAGCTTCCCTCTGGCTGGGGACCAGCTCCTACTTCGGAGCACTTGACGGTCCGGTTCAAAGTCCAGCCAGCCCGCAGGAAGAAGACAGCAGGCTGCCCGCTCCGGCACCCCTCGGCCGCTCCGAGTGGGCGAGGCCCCTGGGGCCAGCAGCCAGCGCCGGCGGGAGCATCGCCACTAGTGGGTGGGCCGCAGTTGCCAAAGGCTGCGTGTCCGTGAACAAGGACCCTCCAGTGAAGCGCTGGGAAGGTCTCTTTCTGCGTCTACAGAGACATCTGCAGAGTGTCGGGGTGTCTCCGCTGGGGCTCCCTTTGAATGGCCAGCCAGCTGCCCAAAGCAGAAGAGGACGAAGGACTTAAAGGGAAAGCGCTTGGGACTGGAGTGCGGATCCCCAAAGAATGGGGATTTTGGCACCGAAATGGGGTTTCTGAGGACGGCGAGCGAGCCAGGACACCGGCGGGGCAAAAGCCCGGGGTTAGGGGGCTTTCCGGCCGCAAACGCGTGTCTGGAGAGCGGGGGGCGCTGGCCGGGCCGCCCAGCCCCCGACTGTGGGGTGCGGCTGGGCGAAGGGTCTAGTTGCTCCGCCTGGGACAGCAGCTTCCCGGAGGGGCCCGGAGCAGGGGAGAGGGGCCGGCGGCTGCCGCGGGCCCGAGGGGCGAGTCGCGGGCCGCGGGGCCGGACCGGCCGGCGTCGGGGTCCCGCACGGGGCGCGCTCACCTCGCACGTCGCCGGCCAGGGCCCGCCAGGTGGGCGCGTAGCCGATGCAGTGGCCGCACCACGAGGAGTAGAACTGCACGAACCACGCGGCCGAGCTGTTGGCCGTGGCCCCGCGCACGCTGCCGCTGTCCAGCACCCACACGGCGTCCTCGCCCGCGTGGTACAGCCGCGCCGCGCCGCCCGCGCCCGGCCCCGCCGCCGCCGCCGCCAGCAGCACGAGCAGCGGGGGCAGCCGCGCGGGCCGCACCGAGGGCGGACGCTGGGCTCGGGCCGCCGTTCCCGCCGGGGCTCCCGGGCTGCGCGCCGCCGCCGCCGCCGCCGCCCCGGACGCCGCCATGTTGGAAGTGCCGCGGCGCGCCTGACCTTTCACCCTGGCAACAGCCGTCACGAGCGCCGCGCGCGCCCGGCTCCGCCCCGAGAGCCCGGCCCCGCCTCCAGCCCCGCCCCAGGAGTCCGGCCCCGCCTCTCAGTCTTCCCTCCGGGGCCCGCCCCTTCCTGGGCTCCACGCGCTGCCTCTCCCTGCCCCAGGCAGCCGAGCCCCGCCTCCAGCCCCGCCCCTGGCGTCCGGGCCCGCCCCCGCGGGCTCCACGCGCTGCCTCTCCCTGCCCCAGGCAGCCGAGCCCCGCCTCCAGCCCCGCCCCTGGCGTTTGGGCCCGCCCCCCGGGCTCCAGGCGCTGCCCCTCCCCACCACAGGCAGCCAAGTCGCGCCTCCAACCCCGCCCACACGAGCCAGGCCCCGCCTCCGGCTCGCGGCCTCCCCGCTCACGCTCCCTCCCCCCGCCCTGTCTCCCACCGCTGTGGCCACCCCCGCAGGAACCCCATCCCTCCTCCTGCAGTGGGGAGTCGCCAGGTTACAAATGAAAATTCAGGGCGCCCCGTTGTGTGAATTTTAGGTCAACAGCGCCTCGTTTTTAAGTCTGAGTCTATTCCGTGAAATGTGTGTGCCACAGGCAGGACCCAGACCCAGGGCGCAGACACCGTGTTGCAGCTGGTCTGCCACCCTGACCTGGACGTTTCCATGTAAGAATTTAACTCTTAGAAAAACATATGAAACATCCAGGTGTTCACATGGGTTCAGGTGCTAAACTTTGGAGTTGACCACAGCTGACTTAACTGCAAAGCTAGGAAATAAAGCTTCATAAGACTTTTTGCTTAATTCAGAGTGGGAGACCTGGCTTTTTTAGCTTAAAAAAATTTTTTTTAATTGATTTTAGAGAGAGAGAGAGAGAAACATCGATGGGAGAGAACGTTGATGGGTCGCCTCCTGCATGCCCTCACTGGGGACCTGGCCCACAACCTGGGCACGTGCCCTGACTGGGAATCGAGCTGGCGACCAGCTTGGTGCAGGGTCGACGCTCAACCACTGAGCCACACCGGCCAGGCCAGGAGACCTGACTTTTAAATTGCTATATCTGTATTTTCTCTTCTCTGACCCAAACAAAAAGGAAGGGGATTACAGAGCCCATGTGAGTCAGCAGCCATCATCCATAGCCTAGAAGTTTACGTTCTTATCTTCCTGATCACCTCGATCTTGTGGGTAATTAACTTAAATACATCAGTAGGATTTGAACTTGAACTACATTTGTACCAATGCAATCATCTCTCTGCTCTTTACATTGTGGGGTTCTGTGTATGGTTTTGTTTGTACCCCTTCCCCAGGTCCCATGGCTCCCCATTTGCTATCCTCCCTTTCTTCACTAACATTTACTGGGTTTTGGCTCCCTGCTGAGCCCTAGAGACAAAGTGGAACCCTTAGATCTGCCTTCTAGGAGCCAGAGGGGGATGAGTGCCACAAAAAGCAGTCAAGCAGGGTAGGGGGAGAAAACTGTTGTACACACAGGTGGGGAGGCCTCTCAGAGAACTCGATTAGGGTGGAGAAGATAAGAGAGAAGCGAGCAGCCCAGGCAGAGGAACTGTATGTGCAAAGGCCCTGAGGTAGGCATGTTGGAAGAGTAGCAAGGAGGCCAGTGTGGCTGGAGCAGAGTGAGCCATGGAGAAGAGAGAGAATTGGAGAAGTAGCTGAGGGCAAGACCACGCAGGGCCTCCCTAGCCAGGCTGCAGCCGAGGGCCTTGACTCTGAATGCGATGGTGCCCACCGGAGGCTTTTGAACTGCGATGTGGTTCTGGCTGCGGGTGGAGAAGCAGGTGGGCAGCAGGAGACTTCTGAGGGCCATTGCAGCCCTCTGAGAGGTAGTGCCACTCAGGTGAGGGGGGTGGCTGTGCGGATGAGGATGGTCAGACTTTGGGGGTGTTATGAAAGGTGGAATATGTGGTGAATCGAATCCAGAATGTGAAACCAGGGCTCACATCTACCTGCAGGGTTCTGGCCAGTTGCTCTCGGCTGAGATGAAAGACCCAGGGGAGGGGTGGGCAAGCAATGTTGCGGGTGAGAGTGGAAATCAAGAGTTTGTTTCGGACAGCTGGATTTGAGACACCTTTTCTACATCTGAGGGAGGTTTCAGGCCACAAGTTATCTGTGAGTCTGGGGTCACAGCCCCGGGGCAGGCCCAGGTGTGTGTGTATGACAGAGAGATCTTGTCCCAAGCCTGTGGCCAAGTTTTACAACACCACTGGCCTTCTCCCAGCTGTGCTCATGGGGCATTAGGGAGGGCCCTTTGCTGGGGCAAAGGTGTTTGATGGCATAGTGTGGGCAGATAGCACAAAGAACAACGGGACAGAGGTGGGACTCACGGGCTTTCTTCTGGGACCTCAGTGCTGCCTGGGAGCCAGTGTGGAACAGGACTGACTTGCTGGGCCTGATTCTGTTTGGGCACCCACCAGACAGCCTTGTCCCCAGCTGCCACAGAACCTGGCCCAGCAAGGACCCAGCTCCCTCCGGGAGGCCAGTGTACTCGGGGAGCCAGACCCCCGGGGCACAGCAAGTCACCAATTAAACGGATCCTGAGTGTGTGGCACCACCCCTGTGGAAGCAGCCCTCGTGGCCTTCACTTGTGTTTTGTGATCGTGGCTGTCGTGGCTGCGCAGGGTATGAAATGAAAGGGTCTCACAAAGCTGGCCTGAGGATCTGGGGTTTGAGCGCTGACAGCGCCTTCGCGGGCGCTCTGGGCAGGAGGGACTGTTTGCGGGGAGGCTGAAGGAGACAGATCACAGGAAAATTAAATGTGGGGTTTAACTGAGAAATAATCATTTTCTATGAAAGATAATGACTTCTCTGGAGGCAGGTATCAAGATTTATTGGCCCAAGAGGTTACTGGGGATCGGAGCCAAGGCAAGCACGGTGAGGCCTGGACAGGAGTAATCCTGATACTGAAGTCTTGCCGGGTCAATACATCTGAGCAGGAGCCGCTGGCCCCGCGCACGTCACGTGGGCCGGGATGTCAGCTGTCTGCGCCTTGGGGAACACAGTTCTCTGGCCAGTCATTTCATAGCCCGCCTCCCACAGATCCCACTGTCCTGGGAGTGGGGGCAGGATTCTCATTAGACCCCCTTCACCGGTCTCCCTTCAAGGTCACGGGCCACAGGCCAAGAGATGACTCCAGACACACTGCAGTCTGCCGGCTGCGTGGGCCAGGTCGTGTGGGAAGCCCTGGTACAGCGCCAGCCCAGCCACGGCATGGTGCCAGCGGTCACCCCCAGTGACCAGCCGGGAGCCCATGGAATTGGGGGCGGATCTGCAGTTTTCCACGCGGGAGATTTATTGCCATGCTGAACGCGTGTGTAAAAATACATAATTCCTCTCACATGGCCTCATAAATCCAGAAGGATCAGCCATAAATGGGAAAAAAATAAAAAATTACAGACTAATTTGTTCAGAAAACTAGAAAGGAATCAATAAAAAAACTGTAGCTCAAAATTTGGTTTGAAATCGCACGGGAAGGAACACATTTCCCCCTGGATCCGGAGCTCTCCCTGTGCTCGAAGGCAGGCCTGGGAACGGCCAGCGTGACATCCACACGAGCCGTCTTCGCCGGGGCCTCTTCCTGCAGCATGGCACGATGGCCCCGCGGGGTTCTCAGGGGCCCCCACCAGAGCTGCAGGGTGGAGGGCAGCACCTTGGGGCTTTGCCAAGACAGCTTCGTATATGTCTCCCACTCAACAAGTCATGAGAGGCTGGGCTCCCCAGGGGTCCATAAACGTAGTTCAGTGAGTGAGTTCTGCTCTTACAACTGGGGAAGCCTGGGGGCCCTGGCTGGGAGAAGCTGAGTCCTGGGAGATCAGCACCAAGACCGGCCATTCCTAAGGCCACCGTTCTGTCCACTGGATTCTGGACTCCCCATGAAGCAGGGATTTTCCAGTTCAAGAAGGAAAATGGGAAAGAATGGACGAGTGCATGGGTGGACGGGGGAGCGGATGATAGGTAATAGGCAGATGACTGATGGATGGATGAAGGGAAGGTGATAAGTGATAATACAGACGCATTGCAGGGAATTTCCTGGAGCACAGCTCAGAGGTGCCCTCGCTGGAGGGAGCCCTTTCTGGCATTTGACTGTACTGGGGACACAGCTCAGGCCCCACTGTAGCCCAGACACAGTTCTGGGACTGGCAGACAGGACATAAGTGTCCACTGTTGTCTAAAGCAGCTCGAGTGTCCCGTGGCTTCCTCAGGACAGTGGCCATGGCAACAGCACCGCCCTGGGTGAGGGGTGGGCGGCAGGGACCCCGTCAGAGCCTAGCAGTTGGTGGTTCCTGTGGGGAGGGGCCGTGGTTGTGGTGGCCTGTCCTGAGGGTCCATGAAGGACAGCTGCCCTGGCCTGTTTCATCTGCCCCTGGCCTGCTGAGACCCTGTCCCCAAGGGCTTCCACTTGGCAGGTCTCAGCTCCTCCTGTTGGTTCATCCTATGGACTTCTTTCCCCACAGGAAGTCCTCTGCGGCCGCAGTCAGCTTGGATTCCCTCTGCGGGACCATCGCTGCCTTTGAAAGCCGTCCAGGCCCACACAGGGTCACGGAGGGCGTGTTTGGTAATGGACGCCACCAGAAATGAGCTTTTGTTTCTTCCTGAGGAGTCTGGGGCACATGTGGGGAGGCCTTGCTCCCCCCCAGGGAACTGCCCAAGGGCTGGCAGGTGAGGTCAAGTGCCCTTCGACCCTGAGTGCCACAGCCTCTAACCTACGCAGCGTGGCCGAGGAGGTGGCACAGGGAAGGCACCTGCCAGCCTCCAGACAGCCACCAGCAGTGTCGGCAGCCCCCCAGCCACACAGGCCACAGGCAGCCCCCAGCCTCCAGAAGTCAAGCTCACGCAAACATCACTAATGATCTCCTGAGCAAGGCTGAGGGCCTCCGCCCCTTGTTCCGTCTCCCCGAAGCGTTCTCGTCCTCTCTCGTCCTCTGCTAATGGCCTCGTTCTGGCACATGGCCGAGCGATGAGCTTGTGCGAGGACCTGCCCCCTCCCAGCTCCTTAGGACTGTTCTCCCCCAAGTCCAGGACCTGCACCCCTCCTCGGCCAGCCAGGAGGGGTGCACCCTGCACAGCCTTCTCTGCTTCGGCCCCTTAATCTCTGGGCCGGGGTCCTCTTCCAGAGCCCAAAGAGCGACAGCCCATGTCCAGAGACACGCAGACAGAGCCAATTCACCTCTGATGTCGCGGAGTCACCGTGCATCGGTGACCTTCTACATGACCAGCTTTCTCTGAGTGGCAGCCCTGCCCTGGGGACATCCAGGCTTCCTGTAGCCTCCAGCACCCGGTCTGCAGTGAGCTCTCTGCTGTCTGTGTCACTGCAGGCTGTCCACTTTTTTCTCAGGAAACCTGTCTTGCCCAAGATTGCCCAGTGGCTCCCGGGCAAGGCCTGGGGACACGGCTGGCGTCTGCCAGTTCTTTGGTTGGTGGGCTGCCTGGCGCGGCCAGCTCACATAACACAGCCCGCGTGTCGCCCAGGATGCTTCTGGTGAGCTCGGTGGAGACCAGGTCCACCACCCCAGCCCCGGCCATGCCTTGTAGATCAGTGCAGGGGACCATGTCCAGGGCAGGAGCTGGGTCCCCCTGCCAGGTGCCTGATGGCCCTGTGCTGCCACCCTCGACAGTGCTGGCCGACCCTCTCCAGCCCCACAGGCCACCCTGGGCCGAGTTGGCGGCTGCACTGACCACCTGGGGAGCTTCCCAGGGAATCACCTGCCTCCCTACACAAGGGGAGCCTAGCCAGCCGACAGACTCAGACCGCTGGCCCTCCACAGCCTGGTTCCCTCCAACAGAACTTGATTCACCCAACTGGTCCCCGAGGCTTCTGCCCCGTCCACCTGCTTCCAGGCACAGGCTGGATTCCTGGGACCCCAGGGACAATGTTTCGGGAGGCTCCTCCTCAGACAAGGAAGCAACTCGAAGGTGTTGACAGAGGCACCCTCCTCTGGGGGGCCCAGCGAGCCCCCAGGAGACATGATGTCTTCAGGTGGGGAAGGGAAGTCCTCTGAGCTGGTGCTGGGGGTGGCCCCACTGTCTGCTGGGAGGCGGAGGAGGAAGGTGGCTGTCCCTGTGTGTGGAGGATGGAGGGCCACACTTCCATAGGACAGCACCTTGTCCCCTGGGGACAGGATCTCAGGCAGGACACTGCCATCCTGAGGGGGGCAGGCTTCCTCCGGGGGGGGGGGCTCCACACCCCCCCATGCCCAGGCACCCTGCTTTCAGCTCCCAGGGGGCTCCAGGAAGAGCCTGGGGGGCTTCCTGTTGGTGGGTGAACTCAGGTCAGCTTCCCAGGGTGCCTCTGGGCAGCCAGCTGAGGCCTGTGGAGGCCCAGTCTCTCCCCCTTTGCTGAAATCCGCTCCTTGGGATGCAAGGACCCCGAGGGGAAGGGCCCCGAGGGGAAGGAAAGGGACAGGTCTGGGCCTCTGCAGGAAGGCTTGTTGGATGGGAACGCAGTGCATCAGCCTCGGGGGACGTCTGCTTGGCCTTTCCAGTGTCCAGTTCAGTGGTCAGACTCCAGATGGTTCCTGTCCCTACCGGGGCCCACGGAGGGGACGGCCATGCCGGGCACCCTCTGTCTCCCACGCCGGAGGAGCCTCCCGCAGGCAAGGAGCGCCCCGTAGCCTGCTGGGCACCCACTCCAGGCTCTGGCAGGCTCTCCTCAGCCCAGACCTCGCTGGACACCTCTGCCGAGCCTGGCCGAGGGGCCGCTGGGAGAGGCGGTGGCCAGCCTGCCTGCAGGATGCCTGGCTCTGACCCTGGGCCTCCCGACACCGTGGAGGAGCAGCCGTGCAGGGCACTAGCCCCGCTGCCCGCAGCCTCTCCCAGCTCGCCTGCCCTCTGCCCAGTGCAGCCCCCGGAGTCTCCGGAAGACGGCTCCCCCACAAGCCCAGGTCTGCGTCCTGGGCGTCCTCGGCCCCCCAGTCTGACAGGGAGATGGGCTCTCGGAAAGCTGGACCAGGAAGGCAGACACCTTCTGGACAGACGGGCAGGGCGGGCTGCTCCCAGAGGCGGGGGCTCGGGACTCCACCAAGGACCCTGAGCTGGTCCCGGAGGCAGGTTCCAGAGGGGAGCCCTGGCTGAGGGGGCGGTGAGCTGGGGCTGGGGGCTGCCCGGGGGCTGGGCCGGGCATGTCACCTCCTCGGTGGCTGCAGGAGCTACAGAGAGAAGAGAGTGTGGGGACGTCACCAATGGTCTCACCCTGCCTTCCCGGTGACGCACCCCAGCACTGGGGTTGGCAGTGGGACGGAACCAGAGACTGAGTCAGGGGCCGAAGGCGTGTCCAGCGGGCCAGTGTGTGGGCCCTGTGACCCCAGCGGTTAGCCCCATCCACCCCTACCAGGACGTGAGTGACCGCAGACGTTTCTGCATCCAGGGACTCAGGCTCCCACCGTCTGAAGGCTGACCGGCAGCATGTGCCTTGTTCTGTCATCTGAGACCTGGATGTTTCAGACAGGGAGTCAACCTACCGCCCTTCAGGGGCTGCCTGGGACCCCGTGATGTGAGGGAGTGGGCGGCCTCCCAGCTCCGCTTTGGAAGAGGCTGGCTGTGATTTAGAAGTGACCTTAGATGACCCTTAGGTTGGGACTCAATGGTCCTGGTGCAAAGCAGGGGTGGAGGGCTGATGGGCGGAGCATCACCTGGACAGGTGGTCAGCTGGGTGGCTTCCTGCCAGGAGGAAGGATCTTGGGGGTTCTCCTGCCAACAGGTCTTTGTTCTGCAAACACATTGTGAGCAAGTCTGGGTGCCCCCAGGAGAGACCCCCATCTTCCCAGCTCAGGGTCTCTGCAGGGGACCTTCATCGACCCCAACAGGAGGTGGGGGGGGTGACCACCAGAGCACAGGGCTCCAAGGGTGGGGTGGGGGCCCTATCTTTAGGGGTTTCCAGCCTCGGTGGCCACTGCAGCAGGTAGCTGGGGGGTCATTACCACATGAGAGGTTCAGGGGCCGTGCTTTCTGGAGGGGCCCCTCCTACTGCCCCACCACTGGCTCTCAGCCGATTCAGCAGCAATATCCCTGTTTCAGACCCAGGAGGGCGTGGGGTGGGCTGAGGGAAGGAGCAGCCAGGCCAGTGCACAGGCACCGGGGGGGTGAGGCCACCTAGCGAGAGTGCAGGGAGCAACGGCTTCACCACCTCCACGCCCAGGCCCAGGCCCTGCCCGAGGACCCCACAGGCCCAGGTAGCTCCCCAGACCCCGTACCTCTGCTCCTCTGACCACTGGCTTTCCATTTCCGGGGCTTCCCTAACGGGGCTGCCGGCAAACTCCAGCCCCACTCTGCCCCCACTGGGCTCTGGCTGCCTTCAGCCACCTGATGGAAGCAAGTCGGAGAGTTGGTGCACTCAGGGTGTGGGTCTGGCCTCAGTCCGTGTCCCTCCGCCGTGGAGAGAGCCCCGTGCTCTGGTGACCCCACGAGGAACACAAACCCCCCCTGCAGAGGGCCCTCCAGACCCTGTACACAGACACCCGTCCTCCAGTGGGTCCCAGTGACCCACCAACAGATGGACCCCTGGGAAAAGCCAAAGTCTCTGTCCTGTCGGCACCCTCACCTGATGGCGGGGTCACTCCACCCAAAGCCACACAGCGGGGCAGACAAAGCAAGGCCAGGCCCTCACTCACGCTGGCTTCCTGGGGGCTCTGGGGGCCCCCCGGCTCCGCCTGCCAGCTCCGGCCCCGGAAGCCGTGCGTGGCTGCCCGTCAGAACCTGGCGAGGGGCTGGGGTTGGTCTGGGGTCTCCTGCGAGGCCAGTGACCATCAGTGCTGACAGGACACGGAAAACATGGTGTCCAGGAATCCTGAAGCCACACGAAAATAATCTTAAAATCCACACTAGCTGCAGCGCTCGTGTTTGGCTTAGGCGAGACATGCAAATACGGGGTCGTCTGCTCCTGAAGGTAGCGCTGTGGGAAAGTTACTGGTAGGAGTCCCAAGGAGCTTCTGGGAGAAGGTGGGGCAAGGGCAGGCCTTGACCACGCGGGAAGATCAGCCGAGTGGGGACAGAGCGGAAGAGGGGCCTACAGTCGGGCCTTTGCCGAGAAGCCGCAGGGACGCCCACCTGTGTGTCAGCGTCTCCCTGTACCTCCCTGCACCCTGGGCCTGGCAGGTGTGGGGTCTGTGATGGTCCCCAGACCACCAGCCCGAGGGGACTGGAGGTATTTAGCTAAAGCCCAGGTTTGTGGAACTTTTACCAATGGGAACCCACCCTCTGGCCCATGGCCCTTGGTGCAGGTCGAGGCATCCTGGGTCGTACAAAGAACCTGGGCTACCGATGACGGTGCTGGTGCCCCCAGGGAGCCTCCTCAGGTGCAGTGTCCTGAGCAGAGAGCAGCAGGTGAGCGGTCAGAGTGACCCTGTACTCTGGCTGCCGCTGCCCCGCCCGGGCACCTTGGCATGTAAGGCTGCCGCTCTCCACCAGCCTCCCCTGGGGTCAGGCCAGCCACCGGCCCTGGTGTCTCCTCTTCCCAAGCTGGCCTCAGTGGCTGCAGGTGAACGTCCGAAGCCGAACTTGCCCTGGGGTGTCCCCTCCTGCTGCTTGGTGACAGGTCTGTGAAGCAGTGAGGGGTGGTGAATGCTTGCCGGGCCGCGCCCTCCTGGGGTGTCCAGCCTGGGCCACCTGTCTCCACACGTGGAGGTCGAATCACATTCGGGGCGGCACTGGCTGGTTGCCCAGTGGTCAGCGCACGGGCAAGGAAAGACCGGTCTGGGCCCTCCCCAGCCAGCAGCTCCCAAGCAGGGCCCATTGCCCCAGATGGGACCACTGCAGCAGGGGAGGGTGACGAGGCATGGGGCACAGCGCTGGGGCGTGGTGGAAGGGAGATGTCCATCTGTCCCTCAGCACAGAGCACGTGCCCACCAAGACCTCTGGATGGAGACTGACCGCTGGTCCGCGGCACAGCCCCAAGTGTCGAGCTGGGCCCACTGAGCTCGGGGAGGCACACCGGGTTGGAGGCCTGGATGCCAAACACACTGCCGTGCTCTTGGCACACTGATGGGCAGCGAGAACGCCCCATCACAGCCTCAGGAACGGGACTGGTGTCCTGACGCCTGGGTCCGAGGGCAGTGACTGCAGACGGGCAGCTCTAGAACGTCCTGCCCTCTCCAGGGGCAGCCTGGGGCTGCTTATGTTTCCTCTGCCCCAGGCGCTTGCTGCTCCCCCAGGTCCCCGAGCAGCTCCCAGATGCAGCCACAGCAGGGGGTGGGCAGGGAGCAGGCTCGGCGGGCCATCCTCTGCCTGCCCAGCCCAGCAAGCACGCCGAGTGGGTGAGGCAGCCCAGGGCCTCTCAGAGACCTGGGACGCAGTGTGAGTACAGGTCAGTCCGTGTGGGATTTACCTGGACGTTGTTCACAGAGAGAAGCTGAGGGCCAGGGCCAGGGTGCCTGCGGTGACTCACGGCGGGACTCGTGGGCTCTCAGGGCTTCTCCAGGGGTGGTGGCTGGGGGGCTGCCAGGCCTGTGCAGTGTCGGGGTGCATGGTGGGCCCTCTGCAGGCCCCTCTGGCTGCTGGCTTGTCTCAGAGCCCCCCTCCCAGGCGGCCTGGACTTTGAGGCGGGAGCTCTATGAGAAATAGTGGAGGGTGAGCAAGCCCGGACACCCCTGGGTGGACGGCAGGCTCCCATAATTAGGCCCAGGCTGAAACAAGTGGGCATAACTTCACATGAGCCCTGCACCCTGTTGCTGATAGTCCTGAGACAGGTGTAGACGTCAGGCCGGGGCGGGGGGGTGGGGGGCGTGGCTGGGTGCACACTGGGGTCTGTGTCGGGCGGCCTGGATGCCCCTCCTGCAGCACACCTGCCTGGTGGTCACCCTGCAGTGGGCCTGCTGACCTTCACCGGGTGCTTCATGGACCAGCTAATTCTGTGCTTCCCACCAGGTGAGACCAGCATCTTTCCCAGCTCACAGAGGCTGCTCAGGCTGGGAACAGCCACCCTCCCCTCCCCTCCCCTCCCCTCCCCTCCCCTCCCCTCCCCTCCCCCCGTTCACAGCCTCCTTCATGAGGCAGTGGGCAGGGATGGGGTACTGGGCCAAGCATGCCCTGTTGCCAGGGTCCCCTCAGGGGCTGGGCTCTCCAAGGAGCCCCAGGCCAGGTGCTTCTTCTTGCCCCCAATCCCCGCCCACTACCATTAGGAGTTCGTCGCCTCCCCCAGGGCCTGGCCAGGGCCACCTTGCCCAGGAGACCTCCTTGGGCACCTGAGCAGGGACTGCCCTCCATCTGTACCCGCCAGAGTTCTTTTCCTCCCGGATGTGTTTACAGGGCACTTGTACTTTCCCATGAAGCAGCCGGCGCCAAGCATCTCCTGGCCCCAGCCAAGCCTCCAGCCTGGTGAGAGCGCCCACCTGGAGCGGCTGGGGTGTGGCCTGAAGCCCCTGCTGCAGGCAGGCTGGGGCCTCTGCGGAGAGGGGTCCTGGGGTGCTGCAGGAACAGTGTCTCTCGTGGGGGGAGACCAGGTGACTGCTCCGCAGGCATTAGATGTCCCTCCGACCCAGGCTGAGGAGGAAACGTCAGCTATGACCCCAGCCCGGCACCAAGGCCCACATGGAGGAGAAACCCACCTGCAACCCGTATGCGGGGCAGCCCGGCTCTGGCCCTGGGTGGGGCCTCCCTCTGCCCCTCCAGATGCCCCCGCTCTTCTCATCCTGCTCACACAGGAGACCCCCGCGCACTGTGGCTCCAGCAGGAGGCAGGAGGGAAGGCAGAGCGAATGTCCCTGGGCCTGCGCCCCCCCACCCCCAGTGTGGCTGGGACAGGCTGGCTGTGGCCCTGCCCTCCGTGCAGCTGTCCTTCTCCAGGTTCTGGGTACTGCACCCACCTCTAGGACTGGTCCCTTTGTTAGACTGTCCCCATTGTCCTCTGTTCCCTACTGTGTCTCTGATAGCACACAGCTCAGCAAAGCCACCTTGCCCACACTCAGGCCTCTGCACACCCACCCTGGGAGGTGGCGGGCCCTGACCCCAGCTTCCACCACCTGTCTCCACCTGTGACACAGCACTCCAGGCTTGGGGAGCTGTCCCAGGCCCTCCAGCCAGTGTTTGCTCTAAGGGGAGACCAGGGCAAGCCCTCAGGCAAGGCCTGTTCTGTAATAACTGGATCCCCTTCTAAGTCCTCCTCACGGTTCACCAGTGAAGCCATGCCCTACGGACAGTGTCACTTGCATTTTTCTGTGGGCGTCTCCTCCTGTGCCATCCCCTGGAATTACCCCCACCCCCCACCTCCCTAGTCCAGGCAGGCGATGTACGGGCAGCCTGGGGTGTGCTGAGGGCTCCAGAACTCAGGCATTCTCAAGCTGTGATCACATGATCACACAGCTCAGTCTTCACCACCTGCCCACTTCCCAGGACAAGCTGGCCTCACCGGCTCCTGCTCCAGGTTGCCGAGGCCTGTTGCAGCTTCTCTGCCAAGACCACCTGTGTGGCATCTTTCCTCTGGCTGCCGAGACACCTGGGGTGGTGGCAAGGGGACAGCCTCAAGTTGGTCCAGTGGATGTGAAAGACCAGGCATGGCCAGCCCTGGGCTCCCCCTCCTGCCGCAGGACACCGGGAGGAGGCCGAGATGCGTGCGCAGGGTGGGGAGCCCTGGGGGGGCCTGATGGACCCGGACAAGGCTGCCAGTCCCCCCCGCCCCCATGACCTTTTTTGAGTCTGAGAGAGGAAGCACCTGCAGCCCCAGCCCAGCCCAGGGGTCCTCTGTGGAAGGCGATGGGTGTGGGATAGAACAGCCCGGCACCCTGGTGAACTGCTGGACAATCTTTTGGGAGGCCTACATGGCAATAGCAAGAAGCTGAAAAAAAAAAGCATTGTCACTGACACAATTCCATCCTAGGAGTTTACTTTAAGGACATGATGTCTTGGATGAGCCCTCTAGTCGGAAGGTCCAGCTGTAGGGGCGGTGGAGGAGGGGTTAGTCCCTCTGCGCTGGGCACCTTGTGTGAGTGGCAGTCATGGAGGGAACGGACAGGTTGTCCTGACTGTCAAGTGCACACTCAGGTGAGTCTGCGTTGTCCATTACAGGTGCTGCTCAAATAGCCGGGGGCCCAGCTCCCTCTGCAAGAGCTGACGAGACAGACGGGGAAACAGGTGAGGTGGGCTTCGATGGCTCTAACATTCATGGATTTACTTCTCACTTTACTGCCCTATCTGACTTTCTGCGAACACCCAGTGCTATTTGGATGAGTATTGTTTGTTCCGCAAGGGTTTCAGGGCCGGCGCAGGACAAGACCCCGGGGCAGGACCAGGACTCGAGCAGGCCAGGCGGGAGCTGGGCGACGTGGCTACGCGCATGCGCTCACCTCTCACCTGCCCCGAGGCCCCCAGCGCATCTTGTCGGCCTCCTCCTTCTTGCGCAGGCGCAGCAGCCCTGCCTGTGCTGCGCCCGCAGCTCCTGTTCCCGGGGCTCTGCTCCAGCATCTGAAGCACGAAGTGGCCTAAAGCCTGGGCTCGGCACTTGGGAACCCCGCCAGGCCCCACCGGGGCGGGGTAGACCACCGGGCTGCGCCCCGGACCGGCCTCTCCGATGGGAGCGGAGCCCAGCGCAGGGGAGACCAGCGGCTCCAGGAAGCCCTCCTGGACTGCCCACCCCACTCATCCCCATGTCGTGCCCCCTTCCCAGCGGTGAACTCCCGAGGACGGTGCGGGGTCCTCATCGTCTTGGCCTGGTTTGTGCTCCAGAGGGTTTGAGAGCGGCCAGGCTGGTGCTGTACAACCTGGGCGCAGGGGCCAGCCCTGCCCAGAGCAGCCTGTCAAAGTGCCTGCCCCCCCCCCCCCCCGCAGGAGGAAGGGTGGAGGGTGGGTGATGCCCATGGCAGGCAGAGTCTCCCTCATCCAGGACCCACTGTGGAGCCCCCGGGGCCAGGCTGTAGGAGAGGCAGCCCAGGAAGAATCTGGATCTACTATTGGCGAGCAGTGCCCCCCGGCACCCCCCATGCTCCTCCTCTCTGAGGACATCTCCCCGCACCTGGTGAGTGGGTTGTCCTGAGGGTAGAGCCTGGCCAGGGGCAACAGCGAGGGGTCTTGGTCAGGCCTCTCTTCCTGCATGGGCTCTGAGGACAGAAGGAAAACAGGCCATGGTCGCCTTACGTAGGCGTCCCAGGGGCTTTTCTACAGGGGGGCTTTCCGGGCAGGATGTCTGGGGCAATTCAATGCCCCCACGTACTCACAGCTCTGCACCAGGTCATGAGGCCATGCCAAGAGGATTGACTGTCGCCTGTGCCCTGATATGCAGTTCTGCTGTGTGAACCCACTGACCATGCCAAGGCCCAGACCCAAGGACAGGACACCCGAGGACGACTCAGTGCAGCTGCTTCACTTCCACAGGAGAGACTGAGGCCCAGAAAGAAAGAGCGACCCTTTCGAGGTGCAGCACCAAGCGGGTGGGGTGACATCGGAGCCCAGACTCCCAGCTTCCACAGCTGTCTGGCCACTGACGGCTGCTGGCTGCCCTGCGGCGCTGGGTGTGATGAGAAACGGCGTCTGTTCTTCTACGAAGGTGATGTGAGGACCTGTGCTTCTAAGAGAGAGTAAAGGGGGTTGGACTGTGCATTTAATGTCCCACCGAGGAAAACTAAGAAAATAACTAAACACAAAAGTACTTGTGTGTGTGCATATATGCAGATGTGTCCACACACATGTGCAAGGCAATGGTTTTCCGCACGCATCGGGCACATTGCACACGGATCCCTGAGAGACAAAAAACCAATTAGGTGAGACCCGTGATTGTTACAGCTTACTGCCTTGAGAAGTTCCCAGCTGCAGTGTGGGGAGGGGAAACTGAGGTAGAGGGGCAGAGCTGTCTGGAGAGACCAAGGCAGCTAGAGCTGGTGGGATGGAGAGTCGGAGAGGAGAGAGCCATACAGAGAGACCTGGAGATCTGTGGCCTGTCCCCCTGGAGCCTTCAGTACCAAACCAGAAGGCTGGGGATTATGTCTGTCTCTACCAGCCAGGCTGCAAAGCCTCCTGACTCGTGGGTCGTAGGGCAGAGTACATGGAAGCTAGAATAAATTGTCACCAGCAGAACAGCACAACCAGAAACGTTAAAAGAGGTCCTTTAGGCAGACAGATAGTGATGCCAGAGAGGAAATCCAGCTCCACACAGAGGGATGAAGAGCAGTGGGTAATGAAAAACATGTATACAGCCCTGGCCAGTTTGGCTCAGCGGTTAGAGCGTCGGCCTGCGGTCCGGAGAGACCCGGGTTCGGTTCCCGCTAAGGGCACGTACTTCGGTTGCAGTTTGTCCCCGGCCCTGGTTGGTCGTGCGGGTGGCAGCCACTCGATGTGTCCCTTTCACGTCGATGTTTCTCTCTCTCTCTCCCTTCCTCTCTCTCCCTCCCGCTCTATCTGTACAAAAAAATGGAAAAATATCCTCGGGTGAGGATTAAAAAACAAACAAACAAAAAAACATGTATACATACAGGGGTATATATGGACAGGTGCAGGCGTATATACATACAGGTGTATATATGTACTTGAAATATATAAACTTTAAAAGGTAGTTGAGTGTTTAAAATAATAATGTGTTGTAGAGTGTGTAAACTGTTTTAAATAAAACGCATGAGAAGAGTTGCATACAGTCCAGAAAAGGAGACAAGGACCTATGAAGAGCCTCAGCTCTGGGTGAGATGATCGGTATCCTGCGGATGGACAGCGTGTGTATTATATATACTAGAGATCCCACAGCAACCACTAAAATATCAGGTACAGCGCCTAAGCCAACAACAGGGATAAAATGAAAGCGTGAAAAGATGGTCATTTAACCCCAAAGAAGTCAGAAAAAGAGAAGCAAAGGACAGATTACACAAGAAAACAAATAGCCAGATGACACACTAAGTGTAAATGTGTAAAGGACACAACCGAAGGACAGAGATCGCCAGCTCGGATAAGAGAAAAATAGAGCAAGATCTGCGATGTGCTGCCCACAAGAACTGCACTGGAAACAGTTTGAGGGTGGAGGGACCCGTGGTGGTAACGAGGAGCCGGACCAGCCTCCTCCAGGAGAAAGCATCCCGCCTGGGCCGTGACGTAATGACAAAGGGGTCTGGTCATCGGGAGCGTGTGATAACCCTAAACATTCCTGGCCCCACTCCAGAGCTTCGAGGACACGGAGCAAAAACTAACAGCACTGCGTGGAGACGGCTCAGCCACAGCGGCAGGGCCGTGCCCGGGCCCCTCCCTCAATAGCTTGTGGGAAAATCCGGGGGACAGAGTGGATTTGAACAGCCCTCCACCAACAGCAGCAGGAGACACATTCCTTTCCAGAGCACGTGGACCCTCTGCCAAGACAGACCAGATTTTGGGGCGACCCAATCTCAGAGTCACACCATGGTGCCATTAAATCAGAAACTGCTACAGGAGCAGAGCCGCAGGTGGTCCTGGCTGTGGGCTGGGCGCTCGCAGGGTCTGCCCTCCAGCCCAGCGCCCCAGAGCTCTAGACCTGCCAGCACACCCCACGGTGTGAGGGTGGGCTGGGCATTTCCCACCAGCACTTGGGGGGGCTCAGGGGAAGCCGCCCCCAGGGACGGAGGAGGGCGTATTGGAGGACCTGAAAATGGGGGCTCCCTGTTCCCAAAGGGGTATAACCAGGGCTTTGGGGAGATGGTGAGGGCCACGAAGGAGGTCTGCCAGGAGCAGGGCGGGAGGAGCTGGCACCCACTCCGTCCCAGAGCAGAGTGGACGGGGCTGGCTGACACCATGCTCTTCCTTACTTGGCCACGGCTCTCACCCAGCCTGTACCGAAAGCTTCCTTGCGGTAACCCAGGGTTACCGGCCCAGGTGTGGGGGGATGGCACCCACCATGTGCAGTTGCTGTCTTCTCTGTGGGCCCGAGCTAGTCCCCACGAGCAGGAGCTGTGTTGCCCGGGGCCGGATCAAGGCTCTGGCATCAGCTAGACTGTTTCCAATCCCAGTTCCACCCTTACGACGGGACCTCGGGCTTCGTCACTCCGTCTCTCTGGGCCTCCACTGGGTGCGTGACTCAGTTTCCCCTTGGTGTCCACGTAGGGAACGTGGTTTGCCTGCAGCAGGGCTTGGGGTTAAGCACCTGGAACGTGGCTGTTTTCAGGACACTCACCCGCAGAGGCCGACTTCCTGGCTTGACGCTCCCGTCCCTCCTCGGCCCCGGGCAGGCGGGAGCAGCAGCATCTCTGCACAGGGGCGGGTGTGATCTGCCAGGTGGAAGCGCCTGGGATTCCGCTCCAGCGGCACCGGCACCCCTGCCTTCCGAGACCCCCACCCCACCTCCTACACTGGGCGGCACCACCGTCCCCAGCCTTGGGCGCACCTTGGTCTGGCTGTCGCACTGCTCCGAGAGATCTCTGGGTCCGGGTCCCAGGCAGCTGCAGCCCCACCAGGCCTGAAGCTGTGGTTGGCCTGGCCTGGGGCAGCCTTTCCACCAGCTTCCGTAAGGACAGGTGTGTGTGGTGGAGGGACAGACAGCCTCCAGCCAGTGGCCGGGAAGGAGCCCGAGCCCAGCACCTCTCCAGTCTCAGGAGACTCCATGTGGGCGCCTCCTTCCCTGCCCTGAGAGAGGGCTGGGCGAGGGAAGGGTGGCCGGTGTCCAGCAGACAGAGCAAGGCCAGCGCGGGAGCCTTCCGTGGTGTGTGGGGCTGGACAGCGGGCTGGGGAGCTGCATTGCCCAGCAGGTGTGATGCCAGAGCAGGAAGAGGGGGAGAAAGGGAAACGGGCTGCGGTGGCTGTGCTGTGTGGTCTGAGGGCCCCCGCCTGCACACACAGACACGTGTGCCCACGTGCTCCTTGGGTTCGGTGGCTCTCGTGGGCCTGCCTCCTGAAAGGTGCTGGGTGAGAACGTCCCATCAACGGTTCTCAGACCGAAGACAGAGTCACTTCTGAGCAGGTGCGTCCTATCAAACCAGATCACAGACACCCCCTCCTGGAACTCACCTTGCTGGCCCTGGGCTGGGTCCTCTCTGCACCATCCTGACCAGCCAGCACCGCCTGTCTGGGGCACGGGGCGGGCGTAGGGGCTGGGCAGTGCGGGTTCAGGGGTGGGGTCTCCCCTTCTGGGCAGACTTCTCCAGGGTGTGAGCGTCCTGTGCACTGTAGCTGCTGAGCTCCAACGGAGAGCCCTTGGCTCAGGTGCCAACAAGCCCAGGACATGGGCAGGCGGGAGGCTCAGATGGTCAACCCAGCCAGGAGCCCCCAGGACACTAGTGGGGAGAAGCGTCCTGTTTCTGTTTGAAAACGAGCATCCCCGTGGCCTATCGAGGGGCTCTTCCCCGGGGCACAGGCAGGGCCCACATTTCAGAAAGCAGCCTGTGGGCAACCTCCCCACTTGGGGAAGAGCTGTGGACACAGGGGCCCAGGGGCGAGCCCAGGGCTGTCGAGAGACCCCGGGCACCCAGCCGAGATGAGAGGCGGGGCTTTGGCCACCACACGTGCACTGAGCGTCTGGGGCGAGGCTGGGGGTGCCACCTCCTGCTCCGAGCAGACTGGCTCCGTGGGAAGGAAGGTACTTTTAGGGATTGGTTTACAGTGTGTTCTGAGCTGAAGTTCTCGAGGAGGGAAAACCCCTCGCTTCTGTTTTGTGTCCCAGACAGAGGCTGGACCCAGAGAAGGTGCTGGGAACCTTACCAAGCCTGCGCCTACGCTGCCGCTGAGCCTCCCCCGGGTACCCAGAGCTGCAGAGGCGTGGGGCCCCCGGCCCTGTGGGACAAGCACGGGGAGCTCCTGGTCACCTCTGGTCACACCAGCACCCCTGACAGGGAGACACGAGCTGTGTGCCCCTGGACACTCCGCTGTGACCTCGACATGGGCATGGCCCTGGATGGCCAAGCAGCTGGCAGCCCCTGAGACTTTCAGAGTGACCCCGCTGAGCAGGATGACACTGGCCTCCTCAAGTCCTCTGAGACGGTTGTGGAGGAACCCCGAGAACCTAGCCGACGTGCCACCCAAGCCCCTGGCAGCCGGGATCCACTGAGAGGCTGTTGCTATTCACAGTGATGATGATGATAACGGGGTGCTGCTATCGCTAGTCACAGTGACGACGATGACAAGGGGTGTGCTCAGTCACAGGGTGTGGGGTCACGGCCTCCCACGGAGTGGAGCTGACAGGGCACCGTGCCAGTCGGGCTGGGAGTGTCTGAGCCCCACGGCAGCGGCAGCCACCGGTCTGCTTCCGTTCACACTCAATTCCAAGGAAAGAAGGGGCAGAATCCCACTCTGCAGCCATGTGGGCCACGTTTCAGTGGTCACGGAACCACACGTGGCTGGTGGCTGCCGTACGGGGAGCCCGCCGTTTAGAGCAGTTTCCTCGTTCCAGAAGGTTCTGTTGGACGGCGTGGTGTGAGGTGTTTAGGTCTAGAGAGTCAGGCAGCGCCGGGCGCGGTGGAGTCCAGAAGGTTCTATTGGACAGCACCGCGTCCACGCATGAAAGCTGGAGCTGACCGACTCAGAGCTGAGCTTGGACCCCACTCTGCCACGTGCTGGCGGTGACCACCCAGAGGCAGATGCACAGAGGGGCGCCCACAGAGCAGGCCGCGAGAGCGACGCCTGGACGGGCACCCTGGAGGGAGCCACCTGGCCCGCCCAGCGCCAGCCTGTGGGAGCTGCCAGGCCCGGCCAACAGCTCACAGCTCGGCCGGCCAGACCGCGAGGCTCTAGGAGGGCTGTTCTCAGGTGGGTGGGGACCTCTGTCCCGGCTCCTTTCCTCCGAGGGCACAGCAGGTGTGGCCGGCCCCCTGGGGACCCTGAGGCCACAGGGTGGGCTGGGGTGGGGCAGCCTGGCCGGGTCCCCCTCCCCGGGGGGTCTGTGACCTGGCCCTGCAGAAGGTAGCTGTTCATGCCAGTTTCCGCCCGTCTCTGCCCTGGCACCCAGGCCACCCACTGAGTGTTCCTCGAGGGGCTCGCACCTTCCAGACCCCATCTGTGGCCCAAAGTTCAGGGCTATTGTCCTTTCAACCTGACAGTTTTCCCTGTGGGGTGCTGGGAGGGTTCCTGCTTCTGGTCTCATGCCCCTCACAGGGCAGGGCTGCCTCCCCTGCCACACTGGGGCAGACACGGATACGGGGAGGTGGCAGCTGGGGTGAGTGGGTGGGGTGTCCCTCGAAGCAATACCCCTCACGCGGGAATGGCAAGAACACAGGGAAGCAGCTGGGTCCTAAAGCCTCCAGAACACTTTAATACTGAAACACGGATGCTTTCCACACGGAAAGGCCTCTCTCTACACCCGCAGGACCTCACTGGAGCAGCAGGCGGTGGAGGGGGTCCCGGTCGGACCTCCCCAGCCACCCCACCAGCCAGCCCAGGGCCTGTCCGCAGGCTTGCCCTTACCGCAGCTCCGCAGGGTCCAGGGTGTGGCCAAGCCCACCCCTCTGGCCGTTGGCATCTCCTCCAGCCACAGGGAGCCGCAGGTGGGGTCCGGCGGGGCTGGCACCCTGTGTGAGCTGGGACACACAAAAGTACACGTGAGCGGGGTGCAGGGAGGAGCAGCTAGCGGGGGGGGGGGGTCTGGGCCGTCAGTCACACAGCCCAGGGCAGGACTGCAGCCAGGGGCCAGGAGGGCAGGTAAGTGGGTGGCCTGGGGCCTGCAGGTGCCGACACCGGCAGTGTCCTGGGCTTGCGGGGCCGTCCGAGAGGCAGTGACTTGGGACAGGCAGCCGAGGCTTGGCTTCCCCGGCCACCGTGGGCACTGGGGCAGGACTGGAGTGTCCTTTGCCACAAGGCCACCCCTGCCCTGGGCGCTGAGCTTGTGTCCCTGTGTGCACGGCCTGTCCTCTCTGACACATAGGAGCCCAAGAAGTGACCACAGACGCTGTGCACACACTCCTGTGGTCACGGAGACTGGGGGGGCTTGGCCCCCCCAGCAGCCCTCAGGGCCGGGGCAGGTGCTTGTTGAACACCTGCTGTGTGCCAGCTGCCGTTCAGTTTGGCTGTGCCTGGTCCCCACCCCGACAGCCCGCAGTCAGGCAGGGAGACAACCAAGTGTCCCAGAGAGGCCAGCAGCCCTGGGGCGGGCAGGTGCCGAGGAGGTCATGGGCGGGCCTGTGGCCGATTCCCGGGGGCCCTGTGGATGCCCAGGGGGGTGCACTGCCGGCACAGGGCCGTGGATGGGGCGGAGGGACCGGATCACTGCAGGGTCCTCTCTGGGCTCACTCTTTTTTTTTTTTTTTTCATTTATCTTCAGACAGAGCGGGAGGGAGGGAGAGAAAGAAACATCGATGTGAGAGAGACACATCAACTGGTCGCCTCCCACACGACCCCAACCAGGGCCGGGGACAAACTGCAACCGAGGTACGTGCCCCCAGCAGGAACCAAACCCGGGACTCTCTGGTTCACGGGCCGATGCTCTAACCGCTGAGCCAAACCCGCCAGGGCTCTGAGCTCCCTCTCGCTCCCTCCCTCCTCCCGATCAGGGATGGCAGGGAGGAGCCATCCTGGCAGAGGATGGGTCAGAGGGACGGCCATGGATGGCCACTGACTGAAGAGCCCGCGTCTCCCTCCACAGTGTACAGCAGGCACTTCCCTGAAAGGACCCAACAGTAACTCTGCTCTGCGGCCACCCAGTCCCTCACTGTGGGGGACTCAGCCCTTCGGGGCAGTGCGGAACGTGGCCGCGTGCTGGTGCTTGCTGACCCCTGGTCTGGACTTTCTAGGGCAGTGGTCCTCAGACTTCAGTGTGCACCCGAGTCCTGCCCACAGCCCACCCCCGAGGACGAGATTCGGGAGGGCCGGTGGGCCAGGGGACGACTGGAGAACGGGGGGACGAGAGAGTGAGCAGAGCAGAAAGACCGTGGCCTCTTGCGTCCGAGCCCTGGTCTGAATCTTGGCCTGCCCCCCACGAGCCATGGGACCTGAGCAACGTCCCCTCCTGAGCCTCAGTTTTCCCACCTGTAAAATGGGGTGAGGACCCCTCTCCTGGAGGTGCTGAAAGCTGGGCAGGGGCCTGGGCAACCTCTTCCTCCAGAGACGCTGGATGGACCAACCCAGCACCCTCAGCGACTGGCTGGCTCACCCTCCACTGAGCACCATGGTCCCGGCAGGACAGGTGGGAGGTGAGGGCTCACCCTCTACTCAGATCCCAAACAGCTCAGGGGGAGCTGTGACTGTCATCCCTGCGTCTGGGCAGTGGGAGAGGTGACCAGGGGCGTGGCCACCGAGCTGCAACCTGCGAAGCAGTGAGCAGTGAGTGTGTCCCTGTCAGCAGGGACAGCCCGGGCTCCCTTCCCAAACTCTCAAGGGGCCGGCAAGCCCTTGGCTCCCTGATCCCCACACTCCAAGGTGCTGGTCATGGGGCAGCCTCACGGATGGCTTCGCCTCTGCCTGTGGGAACTGGTCAGGGCCTTGGGGGAGAGGGGCACTCAGTGCCCAGGTGCGAGTGCCTGGGGTGGGGGTAGGAAATGCCTTGGAGGCCACAAGCCTTCTGCCCCTCAGCTCCTGGACCTGGGAGGGGCCCACGGGCCTTGCTGGCCATGCAGCACCAGGAGGGCAGGCAGGTGTAAGGTATCTACCTTGGAGCCTGGGGCTCCAACATTAACCTCTCAGAATCCTCCCCACCCTCCCCCCTTCTGAAGGTTTGTGCTGGGAAGACACAGAAATCCATACCAATGCTGCCCCCTACTGGTGGAAACAATTCAATTCTACCAGCTGAACGGGGCTGGGCCTGGGTAGGTGGGGAAGGGGGGCAAGATAAGACTCACCCCAAAGTACCAAACACAACACCCCTCTACTAGTGAGGTCAAGGGGGGCTTCAGGGAGGCAGGGTTGGTGGGGATTCCTGGGGGGACAGGCAGGGGAGGTGCACAGGCCAGAAGATGTCCCCAGAGGAAAGGGGAGGGTTGGAGGTGCTATTGGGGAATCAACCCCATTGCCCAGGGGCGCCTCCGAGGCTGGCAAGGGGTATGTGACTTTGCTAAAGGTCAGCAGCTGGAAGCACGGATCTGGGATTCGCACTTACCCCCACCCTGGGGTCCCGGGCAGCCCCACGTAGAGGGGGCACCAGGCTCCCTTCTCCCCAGAGATGTACCCCTCCAATCTGCATTCCTCACTCCACATGCCCCAGCCACGGTGTCCACCCTCCCGTCTGGTTCTCTACTCGTAAGCTCCACACCCTCCCAGGCCCCAGTGCCAGGTGCCCAAACGGGGCAGACCAGGTGAGGAGCCCCTGGCTTCCATCCCAGGTGTTACTGGTGGGCTCTGGGTGATGCCAGCAACAGGCAAGGCCAGCTGTCCGCCGGAGCTCCCCTCACCCTCAGCTCTGACCTGTCCAGGCTAGGGCCCCAGAGGACACGTAGCCACGTAAGGGAAGGGACTGCTGGAGGCAGCTCGGCCTCAGGCAGAGAGGTGAGAGGGGCAGAAGGTCCGAGAACCTCCCGGGCGGTGTGGCCTCCAGGGAGGACGGGCTGGGCTGGGGGTCGGGAGGGCGCCGCTGGTCACCGAGGAGGACGGTGGGGCCCTGCCTGCTCTGCCACCAGGAGACGCTGGGTGGGCGGCAGGGCGGCGGGCCGGCAAGGGGAGTCTTTGAGGAGGAGGCTGAGCATGTTCACGACCCCAGAAGGGGAGAGGCCGCAGCGGCCTGGGGAAGGGCACGTCCCAGCCAGGGAGCAGCTGACCTGGCAGACAGCCTGAACAAAGCGGAGCAGGGGCTGGGCTGGCAGGAAGGACTCCTGAGGACGAGTCATGGCTGAGAGGGGCTCGGGGCACAGAGCAGGGACCTGGCCCCTGGGGGGAAAATGAGCCAGAGGACAGAGGACAGGAAGGGGCAGGACTGTGGAGTCCTGAGGTGAGGGTGGGGACAGCAGAAAGTCCCCCAAACCAGGCCCAGGCTGGGCTGACTAGGTAGATGATGGGGCAGCCAGAGGCCCCCCAGTACCCCAGCCCGAGGCCAGTCATCTGTGTGGAACTAGACCCAGTGTCCTCTGGGGGGCCTGTCTGACGTGGCCCCGGAGAAGGCCGCAGCCCGTGCTGGGGGCGCGGAGAAGGCGCCAGGTTCTGCGGCTGAGAGGTCGTGAGGACTGACGCGGACATGGAATCTGGGACCTGCACCTGTATCAGTGTCCCCTGCGCACACCCAGCCTGGTAGTCACACCAATGACACGGGGAAGTGTGGCCACATGTCTCCCTGGGCGTGTATCCTGGGGCTGCTCCCTTCCCTGCCACAGAGGGGCCGCAGCACCGCCTGGCGCACAGGGGGCCCGGAGCAGCTCCCTGGCGGCTCACAGCCCGGCCGGGACATGCGGGGTGCTCGTGGGCTTACCTTCTGGCCAAGGGGCTGAGGACCTGGAAGGAAGCCGAGTCTCTCGCCAGCCTCTTGCCCAGCTCCGAACACACCTCCTCCATGGACCCTTTGGAGAGATGGGCACCAGGCGCTGGATGAGGGGAGCGGCTGCGGGTTGCTGGGGGACGAGGGAGGGCGCCCCACACAGCAGGAGGGGCCCAGCGGCCTCGGGTCCCCTGTGCCTCGTCCTGTCCCTGGCCTGCCCTCGGGAGGCTGGGCGGGGGGGACAGGCATGGAACCCTCGGGACCAGGCCTCCCTCCTCCTCCAGCCAGAGCCAGGACAGCGGCGACAGGAGGTCGAGTGTGTGCCTTTCCTGATGCCACCTTCCTGGTGACAACTGTGACACTGTCATCATGTCCCCCCTTAGGGGGAAGAAGCCAAGGGACAGTGAGAGCCACCGCCAGGGCTGGTGGCCCTGGTGGCCTGGGTGCCAGTCGTACCTCGGGGCTTGCGGGCCGGGTGGCCCCGGGGGCCCCACAGCAGCATCTCGCCGTCTGGGAAGCAGGTGGGAGAGAGGAGCGGCCGGGCTGGCATGTCTGCCCTGCCCCAGGGGGCCCCTCTGCTCCTGTTGGGCACCAAGGCCCCGGGGCCGGCTGGCGCTGCAGGGGTGGGGGCTGCAGGCACGGTGCTTGGGCGCGGGGGCGGCAGTTCCGAGACCAGGTCCTCAAGAGTGTCCACTTCCTCGGACCTGAGCAGCTTGGAGGTCAGGATGTCGATCCTCTGCTTCAGGATGTTTGCCATGGTCTCCAGGGCCTGCAGCCGCGCCTGCTTGTACCGGAAGTGCAGCGGGCCCGGCGTGCCCAGGCGCTCAGCCTCCTCAGGGTCCAGGTAGATGCACAGCCCCGGGCGCGTGTGCCGGGGGGTCAGGTCCTGGAGCTTCAGGGGTCCCAGGGAGGAGCTGGCAGACAGGAGCAGGGGGGCACCCTCCCAGCCTTCTTGGGGGCCTCCTGTCTCCAGAGTCTCGTCACGGTTCAAAGCTCTGTCCAAACACAGGCAGAAGCTGTGGGGAGAGGGGACAGGCCATGTGTGGACACGCGTGTGCAGGGGTGAGCATGGGGTGCTGCCCCATGTGCTCACGGTGCCTGAGCACCCTTATGGCTGCACGGCTATCAGAGCAAGGGCAGCGGGCAGTGGTTTCTTGGACGTGACGCCAAAAAATACAGGACACAAAAGAAACAGAAGAGTCAGACTGCTTCCCACGTAAGACTGGACACCCGAGGACACGGGCACAGAGTGAACAACCCCTGCGGAACGAGAGGGCGTTTGAAACCAGGCACCCCCGGGGGTTCAAACCCAGAACACAGAACTCCCACACCTCAACAAGAAAACCGAAAAACTCGATCAAAACCAGGCAGAGGACTCGTGAGGCCTTTCCTCTGAAGACACAGAGACGGCTGACAAGCTCGTGAAAAGATGCTCGATACCAGTGATCGCTGGGAAATGCACACGAAACCACAGTGAGGGCCACCTCACCCCTGCGGACGGCTACTGTGAAAACAGAGTGTGGGTGAGGCCGTGGGGCACCGAGCCCGGGGCTCTGCTGGCGGGAACAGTGCGACCCGTGTGGCGGCCCCTCGGAGGGGCGGGCGGGGCACCACCTGGCCCGAGGCCCCACTTCCGGATCCACACCATCGAGATTCGAAAGCAGGACCTCAGAGACGGATTTGCACACCATGTGCACAGCTTGTTCACCACAGCCAAAGGTGGACGCAGCCCAGTGTCCACGGCAGGGAAACAGATGAACCAAACGGGTCCATCCACACAGTGGATGTCATTCAGCCCCGAAGAGGAGCCGAGTCGCGACACACGACACAACGGGGTTGATACAACGTGCTCCGCAAGAGAAGCGATATCGAAGACCCCAGGCTGTAGTCCTTCCCGTAGGAAACGTCCAGAACAGACAGGTCCATAGACACGGAGCAGACTGGGGTTGGCTGGGGGGAGGGGGGGTTCCTCTGGGCCACGAAAGGTTTGGAACAAGGCAGAGGCTCCGGCTGCCCAACGAAAGTGCTCAAAGCCACTGAAATGCTCACTTGAAGTGAACTCGGTGACTCTCACCTCTGAGGTCACTGGCTCTGCGCAGCCCGGGAAGCTGCCCCGGAGGAGCCCCGCCCAGGAGGGGCAGCCCCACACCCGCACACTCACCTGCCCGGGGCCTCCTGGTCCCCCAGCACCATGCCGGAGGTCACCTTACTCCACTGCAGCGCGGGCGGCCCTAGGCCCCCAGACGCTTCGAGGCCCTGAAACAGGAGGACGCAGCTGGAGCCCACCTTGGCCAGGAGAACCTGACACCCTCTCTCGGCCACAGGGCTGGCCCTGGACTCCCCGGGGTCTCGGGCTGGACCCCTCAGGGTCTCCACTTTAGGGGCTGGGACAGAGATGGGGGACCCCTACAGAGCCCCATCAACCCAGAGAGGCAGGCGGGCATCTGGGGACTCCAGGGAGTGACGGCCGTGGCTGAGCTGACAACACCCTGTCCGACCCGACCCTGGTGCGTACTCCGGACGGCGCTGAATGCGGAACGAAGGTCACGATGCTGGGGGTCGTCTGGGAGACCACGGGGAAGGCTTTGGTGGGGACAGCCTTGCTGGGGACAGCCTTGGCCAGGATGGCCTCCCTCTGACTCCTGTAGACGTCCTGCAGCCTCTGGTCCATCAGCCCCAGGGCCCGCATGGCCGAGGCCTTCTCCTCCAGGGCCTGCTGCCGTCGCGCCAGAGCCTTCTGGCGCATGACCTGCCGCAAGGACTCAGGGCTGTGAGCCTGGCCCAGGAGCCCCCGGGGCTTTGGGCAGGGCGGTGGCAGCCGGGCCTCATTCTCCTTCCCAGGTGCCATCCGAGGGGTGCTCTGGGCGGGCCTGGGCCAGGTGTTCTTTCCTCCCCAGGGAGGCAGGAGGGAGCCTCTTCCCTTGAAGGGGGTGCCAGCCCTCTTAATGCAGGAGGCGCTATCCACAGGGTGCCATGGCGCTGGGGCGGGGGCCTCGCTGTCTTCCGAACTGGCCCAGGCCCTCTGCCCGGCCGAGGCGCTCCAGGGCCGCTGAGGGAAGTAGCTCAGCCTTTCAGGGGGGCTCCCAGGCCTCTGGAAGGTGGGGTCTCGTCCTTGGGCTGACCAGGTCCTCTGGGGATAGGACTCGCACCTGCCCAGGGTGCTCCAGCGCAGCCCAGCAGGGAAGCTCCCGGTTCTCTCTGAGGAGGAGCGCGTCCCCTTGGTCGGGGCCCGCGGACTCTTGGAGAGGGGGGTCTTCACATCCGGCGCAGTCCAGAGGCCCTGGCGCCTCCTCCCTGCCAGCTCCTGTCGCCACAGAGCGGCCGGCCGGCACTCACGCGCCCCCCGGAGGTGGCGGTCTTGGGCCAGCTCCAGCCCTGTCTGGATTTGCTGGCGGAGGTCTTGAAGGATGGCCATGGCAGAGTGGATGGTCACCATCTGGTCGCAGGCAGCCAGGTGGGGCATGTTGGCAGACACCTGCGGGTCACTGCGGACAGAGGCTGGACGGGGCACCCGGGGACGGGAGGTGGGGCTCTCTGCAGCTTCTTTCTCCGTGTCTCCTGCAAAGACAAGCAGTCACAGGGGGAGCAGGGCCGGCCCCCGCTCAGAGGCACCCTTGCCCCCTGCCCCAAGGAGCCCCACTCTGGGCCTCCGCACTCATCATTGTGTCCAAGGTGGCTTCAGGGGCAGGTGCCACCTCAGGGTGACGGGAGGCTGCGCTTGGGCACCTGGTGAACACTGAGCACGAGTTGGGGGATGGGAGTCTGCTTCCCGGTCAGGAAAACCTAGAGGGTCCTGCCCGCCTCCCAGGAGCCAGACGGTGCCTCTCAGGGACAGAAATCCTGTCCTTAGGGTTTATTTTATTGTTTTAATCTTTATTGTTGAATGTATTACAGATGTTCCTCATTTTTCCCCCACTGACCCCTCCTCCCCACTCCGACCCCCCTCCTGCCTTTCCCCACACTGTTGTCTGTGTCCATTGGTTATGCGTATAAGTTCTTTGGTTAATTTCTTCCCACCCCCCAACCCCTTTCCCTTTGAGGTTCATCAGTCTAACAACCAATTTGTTCTTCTTCATCCCTTCACCTTTTTCACCCATTCCCCCAACCCCCCTCCCATCTGGCAACCAACAAAATGTTCTCTGTATCTATGAGAATGTTTCTGCTCTGCCTGTTCATTTTGTTTGTAGAATCCATTGCCGATAGATATGTATTCATGGCCATTTTGTTTGTTCATATATTTTATCTATTTCTTTTCTTTTTTTTTTTATCTTCACCTGAGGATATTTTTCCATTTTTTGTACAGATAGAGTGGGAGGGAGAGAGAGGAAGGGAGAGAGAGAGAGAAACATCGACGTGAAGGGACACATCGAGTGGCTGCCACCCGCACGACCAACCAGGGCCGGGGACAAACTGCAACCGAAATACGTGCCCTTAGCGGGAACCGAACCCGGGTCTCTCTGTACCGCAGGCCGACGCTCTAACCGCTGAGCCAAACTGGCCAGGGCTATTTTATCTATTTCTTAAAAAAGACCCTTCAACATATAATAATGGTTTGGTGGTGATGAACTCCTTTAACTTTTTCTTGTCTGGGAAAGTCTTTATATGGCCATCGATTCTAAATGACAGCTTTGCAGGATAGAGTAATCTTGGTTGTAGGTTCTTGCTTCTCATCACTCTGAATATTTCTGGCCACTCCCTTCTGGTCTGCAAAGTTTCTTTTGAGAAATCAGCTGACAGTCTGATGGGAACACCCTTGTAGGTAACTAGCTGCCTTTCTCTTGCTGCTTTTAAGATTCTCTCTTTGTCCTGAATCTTTTGCATTTTGATGATGATGTGTCTTGGTGTGGGCCTGTTGGGGTTCACCTTGTTTGGGACTCTCTGTGCTTCCTGGACTTGTATGTCTGTTTCCTTCACCAAGTTAGGGAAGTTTTCTGCCATTATTGTTTCAAACAGGTTTTTGATTTCTTGTTCTCTCTCTTCTCCTTCTGGCACCCCCAAGATGCGAATGTTGGCACGCTTGAAGTTGTCCCAGAGGCTCCTTAGAATCTCATTGTTTTGGATTCTTTTTTCTCTTTGCTGTCCTGATTGGGCATTTTTTGCTTCCTTATATTCCAAATCGATGGTTTGCTTCTTGGATTTACCTATTCCACTATCGAATCTGTGTAAATTATTCTTTATTTCAGTTAGTGCCTCCTTCATTTCTGACTGTGCATCCATGATTTCTGACTGGTCCTTTTTTATGCTCTTGAGGCCCTCACTAAGTTCACTGAGGTTCTCACTAAGTTCATTGAGCATCCTTATAAGCAGCATTTTGAACTCAGCATCTGTTAGGTTGCTTATCTCCATTTCGTTTAGTTCTTTTCCTGGATATTTGTTCTGTTCTTTCATTGGGGACCTGTTTCTTTGTCTCCTCATTTTGGCTGCCTCCCTGTGTTTGTTTCTGTGTATTACTTAACGAGAGGTACGGGGCTATCTGAGACCAGATGTTGCTTGTTTGAAATAATTTAGAAAAAACCTGAAGCAGGATCCAAGACAGGCCAATCCTATGGTGAAGCAACTGGCAACAGCTTGGGTGGGTCCGAAAACTGGGTGGGGCGGGGTCTGCAGTGTGAGCCAGGGTGCTGGAGTCCCAGATATGGGGTCTGTCTGCTGCCCCAGGGAAGGGCTCACCAAAGGAACAAAGGCCTCTGACAGCACATCTGTTCTGTAGAAAGCCCCCTCTCGCCCTCACTCCAGTGCCAAACAGCTCAGTTCTTCCCTGTATGTCTCTGGTGCCCCTCGAGCTGCCTCCCCTCCAAGCTTAGAGGGAGAGAGTCCGATAAGTCCGTGTGCGGGCCCTTTAAGGAGCTGCCTGGGGCTCCAGCCGCCTCAGCCTCCCTGAGCGTCAGTTCCTGCTGGTTTTTCCAGCCAGAAGTGATGGGGATTCTCTTCCTGGCACTGGAACCCTGAGTGGGGCGCCTGGTGTGGGACGGGGACCCCTCAGTCCTCAGGGAGGACCTTCCCAGCCGAGGTGTCCTTCTGATTTTTATCTGCCACACGTGGGTGTGGGACCAGCCCCTCCGCCTCTGCCCTCCTACCAGTCTCCATGTGGCTGCTGCTTTAATTCCGTAGTTGTAGGACTTGCATTCAGCTCGATATCAGGCGGTTCTGAATGGTGTTTGTTCTGTAGTTTAGTTGCAACTTTGATGTGGTTGTGGGAGGACGGATACTGCATTTACCTTGACCGGAAGTCCCTTAGGGCTTTAACTATAAGGGTTTCCCAAAGCCCCCGTCTGATGGCAGATTCAAAGGGCATTTGACAAGTCACTGCTCCAGCACCTGATGCCACCTCCTTCCTTGGCGATGTGGGGACCCCGCCTACCCCCAGATGGCAGCGCAGAGCAGGGTGGAGCCCAAGCCAGAGGCACAAGTTACCTAATTCCAAGGTGGGGGCCAGCTCTCTTGAGGGTGCCTTGCTCTGGAGCCTGGGAGGGAGGGAGGGGACCCACGCAGCCCCTCACCAGCTCGGCCTCTCCTCCAGGCATTGACACCAACCAACTCAGAATCTTGAACAGAGAAAACACAGCGGGTGCCAGGGCCTCCACATGCTGGCCCAGGTGGGGGGTCAGCGGCTCCATGCAGTCTGGGAGACCAGTTCCCATGCTCCCTGAGGGGTGAAATCCCTCCTGTCCAGGACCCTGTGGGGCAGAGCCACATCCCCAACCACCAGCCAGCAAGAGACAGGGCCGAGTCCCAGGATGATCTGACTTCCCTGACCCCCGGTCTCCTCTTCAGGAAATAAAGTAATAAAACCTGCTCCCTGTGGCTCGGTCTGTAAGACCTCAGCACGGGCCCAGACACACGGCACGCGCTTGGCAAATGCTGACCAATAATGATAATGAAAGTGATCATGAGCCACCAGCCCACACAGGGCAAGTGGGAGGATAGTGTCATAGCTGATCTTTTGCACTGAGCTGAAGGAAATTAATCTGGTTTTAAGTGGGTGAGACTCAGTGACAATAGGGGGTGGGGGGGCTCATGAAGAGGCCCAGGCTGGCAGGACAAGGGACCACGATGGTGAATCCCAAACACTAACGTGATTTTTAAAATAATCGTTGTCATATGATAAATACCATTTATCAAGGCTTTACTTCATAATACCAGGTTACACGCATTAAATGTAATATCAGCCCCACCGTCATTACAAACCCGTCCACCAGGGCCCTGGCAGAGGCAGAAGTGCCCTGCCTTTACCTTGCACACACACACGCACACACACACACAGACGCAGTCACACAGAAGATAGTCATGCATACACAGACACACATGCACACAGAGATGCACACACACAGATACACTGTCATATACACACACGCAGAGGTACACACATGCTCACATAGAAACACACATAGATGTACAGGCATGTATATACAGACACACATGCACACACAGACACACATGCACACACACAGAGACACGTGCATGTACACAGTCACACAAAACATGTGCACATGTACACATGCAGGCATGTACATGAACACACACAGAAACATGTGCATGTACACATGCAGACATGCAGACGAACACACATGTTCACAGATACACACACACACACTGCCCCTCCCCTGGGGACCAGCCCAGGGTAGACCCAGGGGAGATAAGACCACCCATGCTAATACTTGTCCTGTCCCCCCATGAAAGGGGCATTTCTGCCACCTGAGGGTGCTGTACAGCTGACACCATCCAGAGGGCTGACCCCGGGGGCAGGCGACCAGATGGTCAGGGGCCTTGCTACCCCCGGATGTGGTCAGGTGGGCATTCCCAGCCTTTGGCTCTGCTCTGAGCCAGCAGGGTCCTGCCCTTTCTGGGCTCATCTGTGGTGGTTGTGGCTGTTTACAAAGGTGGTTGTGTGTGACTTAAGAGGTCAGGGCCGGGGTCCTGTTCCTAGAGGGCGTGGCCTGGGTGTGGCCTTAGGGTCCTTCCTGGGGGCGTGGCCTCTAGGGAGCTTGGCTCTTTGGTCCCCTCCTGCTTCTTCAGTCCCAGGTTCAGGCCGTGGCTGAGGTCTCTGGGGCTGGGCCATCGGAGGTAGCATGTCTAGGGGGTTCTGAAGGGCTTCCGGGCGAGACTACTCTGTGCGCCCAGGAGAAGGCCACGCCCCTCCCGCTGGGCCCGGTGCCCCCCCAGGGGCTGCTGCTGGCTCGGCCTCGGCCCCGCCCACAGGCCCCTCCCTCGGTGGGCACTCGGCTTCCCCATCAGCCTGCCAGCAGGTCCAGGTCAATAAATGGGTCCTGATGGGCACATTTTTTCTTCTGCTGAGCAGTTTAATGGCAATTAATTTTTTTACGAGAGGATTTTTAATCTGTGGAAATGGATGAAGTCCCCAGGTGCCCTGTCAGAGTCCCAGGGCCGACCTCATCTATGATAAAAAATGCAAAGTGAGGTGATATCATCTGAAATTAAATATTGGGCTTCATTTTCCTCCGGCCGGATGGATGAATATTTTATGACTATTGTGATTTAATTTTTTGTTAACTACAGCAAATTTCTAATTCATCCGATTCCCCAGTCCCGTGACTCTGACCTCTGAACCCACACCCATGTCTCCTTAGCCCAGCTGTGACTTCGCCGCTGACAGAGACTAATGGTCAGCGCCGTCAGGGTGACTGGGTGGTGACGATGATGAATGCGGCCCGTGGCACGCCCTTTGACCCAGTGTCGGGCAGAAACCAGGTCATTTTTCAAGTGAGCCATTAAAATAAAACAAACCAAAAAGCCGAGGGCTGGGGGAGGCGATGCAGAGAATGTCATATCTTTGCATTTTCACTGGGGCTTCTGGAACCTTCTCCCTGCCTCCCAGCACCCCTGACTCTCCCGTGTGAGTGGGGTTCTTCTCCCCCACATAGCCTCACGCCAGCTGAATGAACACGACTGCCCAGCCTCACCGTCCCAGCCGCTCAGGGCACCGTGAGCGCGGCACAGAGAAGTGTGGTAACGTGGGCAGAGCACACACCGCCCGCTTCCCGTCGGGACTGTCATTTCATGCCGTGGGGTAACTGAGGCGCGGGGATGTGCTGGAGCAGCTCGAAAGCTGTGCCCCAGTGCTTCGTGCTTAGACTAAGGGTCCAGCAGAGCTGTCTCGGCTCCAGTGAGTGGGGTTCTGCCCCCCGAGGGGGCTGTCAGCAGTGTCCCCAGAGGGGCCCCAGAGCCCAGGCGCGGAGGGAGGGGGTGCCGGGGTGGTCCCGGTAGGCACAGCTGGGCCTTCTCCCGTGAGGAGCACAGGCCTGGGGCTGGGGGTCAGGTCCCGGCTCACCTGTGTGGCTCCGGGCAGGCTGCTGCACCTCGCAGAGCCTCAGGTCCCTCATCGGCACAGTGAGAGCGAGCCAGACACCCCCAAGCAGAGCCGTGGGCTCACGGGAGCTGATGTCCAAGAGTGTAGGCCCGCAGGCCAGGCGTCAGGGCTGGCCACTCACCCGACCACCAGGCATGTCCTCAAGGACGCCCCAGAGGACGCTACCTCCCTCGGTGCCCACCCACCCACAGCCAGCCCAAGAGCAGCCCCTCTCTGTTCATCCCACAATCCCCACAAACCATAACCAGGCTGGGCACCCACACCCACCAGCCCTGAGTTAGAAAGAGCTCTGACTGCCAGCCCACGGCCCACGGCCACCGAGACCACTTAACAGAGCTGCCCCCCCCCCGCCCCGTGACGGCTCCACATCCCCAAAGGCTGGGGCGAGAGAGTGGGCAATGCCCAGGCCTTCCCCCCTCCAGTGCTCAGGCGAGCTGCTACCTGGAACTGTGAACCCCAAAGCAGGCCCATCGGGGAGCCCACTCCCCTAACCAGTCTTCCCCATGCCAAAGGCAGCAGAACCTGGACAGCTGGTGACGTAAAGCCACGCGGTGAAAACGCAGACACACTGTCAACCACACTTGTCACGGGCCCACCTTCACACGTGCCTGTCAGACGCACGTCAGTACACGTGAGGAGCAGACAGTACATGTGCTGAAGCGTGACCGAGTGCCTTGGGATTGAACCTGGGTTGTGGACTTTCCCTTCATCACAAGGGGTGGCCCCTGCACTGGGGACCCACCCGCTGCCGCAGGGATGGCTCTAGTTACCCGCGGTGCAGATGCCAACACTGCCCCTCCTCCGTCACAGCAGACCACCCCCCCAGTCAAGCTCAAGTCCTGCTGGTCCAGATGTCCCCCCGGAGCACCATGCACACAGCGCTGAGGTGGCCACCGGCAGCCAGCGACCCTGCACTGGAAACTGTGGGTGCCCAGTGAGCCAGACCATGAGCTCGTGTCCTGCACCCGCCCAGCCGACCTTACCCTTGTCCTTGGCAGCCCTGCTGGGGGACCACGTGGGGGCCTTCTCTCTTCTGCAGGAACGACTTCTTGTGCTTTTGGTTTTCTCCCGTCGAACTTCAGTGAGAGAAGAGGGGAGGGCAGAGAAGGTGAGCAGTGATGTGTACCCAGGAGCCCCCAGCCCGGTCCCCCCGGTCCCTGGTCCTGTGTGGCTGCTGTGCTCAGGGCCTGAGGGGCACACGTGGTACATGCCCTCGGTGTTCTGCGTGGGGCCACCGCGGGGTGGGCTCGTCACTCCTCCCTGACTGCGCAAGTTCCCAAGGTCTGGCGGCCGAGATTCCAGAGGACAGGAGTAGCCGCCCACGTCCATCTCCTGCCCCCAACTCGGAGCTGGGTTTCGGTGCTTCTGTTTGTTGGATGAATGACTGACCTGCCCAGGGCATGACACTGGCCTCCCTGGGAGTTGAGGGGTGAGAGCTGGAGTCCGAGGGGCCTTCGCACGTCCAGGTCCACCCCTGGCTGGACCGTCAGGGGCACCCGGGACCCAGAGGGCGTAGGAGCCAAGCCCCAGAGTGAGGGACAGCAGGGGAAAGCCAACCAGCCAGGGAGTGCGAGAGAGCAGGCCGCATCCCCACTTCTTCATGCGGGAGGGGTGCGGGGAGACTGGCCAGGACTCTGCAGGCCTCCGGGGTGGCCAGTCCAGCCTTGGTCCTCAGTGTGCGACCCCGCTGGCAGGAAGGGCCTGGAGGACACATCTTGGGGGTTCCACTCCCGTGAGGGACCCAGGGGCGTCAGGAAGGTGGTGCCTGGGGGGAGTCAGTCTGGGGAGACGAGAATGTCCCGGCGAGGACAGTGGTGGCTGCACAGCTGTGTGACCGCTCCCGGTGCCGCTGACCTGTGCACTTGAGGGTGGGTGAGATGTCCTGTTCTGTTCTGTCTATTTTACCACAACGTGAAAAAAAGACCCAGGCCCTGCCCGCACCCTGCTTCTGGAGGGTTCTAAAACGGAGTGGGTAAACGTGACTGCCGAGAGCTGGTGACCAATGACAATGGGCACCGAGGCCCCCAAGTGACCGATGGCCAAGTCCTGAAATTTGCTGATGCTCCCCAGTGGCCCCGTGGAGTGTGGCAGAGAGAGGGACCCGCTGGACGCGCTAAGGCCATCGGGGTCTTGGTGCAGGGAGGAGGAGGAAGACGGGCACCCTGTGGGCAGCTGCTGGTGCCCCGCTGGGCTCAGGGACAGGCTCTGCCCTCGGTTCCATCGGTCCTGGGCCTGCACTTGGCTCCGCGTCGGCTGGGGCGAGACACAGGCCTGCCGCCCACTGGGGTCCTGACCTCACCCTGGCCACCACGACACCACAGGGGACCTGACTCTCAGTCCTCCTCCCCCACAGCCCCTCAGAAAACCCTCGCTGCTCCCCTGGGCCAGGACAGCCTGGCTCTGCTCCCTGGCCCTTTCCCCTCCCCCGGCCGTGGTCTCCCAGATCTTACAGCCTCCTCCCGCCACCCCTCCTGCCCCAGAGTGCACCTGCCAGAGCCCAGAGCAGCCCTGGTCCCTGCCCTCTGGCCCCCCGGAGAGGCACCCCTCGGCCTTTCCTCCCCCACTGCTATTGGTCGGATGCTGAGTGAGCCACGCCCTCGTGGTGCCCTTGGCCCTCGGGCCTCCTGCAGCTGTCTGGAAGCCTGCTGGCCCTCTGCAACCCTTCCGCAGCCCCCGGCAGGGCCGGGCAGAGGCAGGGCAGGGCCCTCTGTGGGACAGAGGGAACGATGAGCCCAGAAACTGGCAGGGCCCGGAGGACCCCTGTGGCTGGTGTGGTCGTGCAGGCAAGACCTCACCCATTCTCTGTAGGAGACGTGCCCCTGCCCTTGAGCCCCAGCCTGCAGGGCCTGCCCGCATCCCTCCCCTGCTGCGAGGCAGAGGGTTAGAGACGGGCACCCCAGTCTTCGCTGTGCCCCTCCCTGGCTGGGTTCTCTCATCCTCAGTGTCCCAGCGTGTGAGTGGGGACCCCGTGGAGCCAGTCACACAGGGTGAGAGAGGAGCCGCAGGGCCAGTGCTGGGTCCCGTCGTGCTGCCCGCACCGTGCGCTGACCGCTGGGCTGCTCACCTGAGGCCTGGCGCTGGGAGACCCCGGAGGGCTCGCACTCCTGGCCAGCGCTCGCCTTGTCTGCAGCTCCAAGCTCAGCCGCACTCAGGTCGCCGGAGTCTGGAGCCGAGATAAAGGTTGTCGTGAGGAGAGGGCTCTGGTTGGCCGCCGCTCGAAAGCCTCAACACAGACCTGTGCCGAGCTGTGCCCTCGGGCGAGTGCCGATGGTCAGTGTTATGTGTACTTCACAGTTTTAAAAAATACAGATATTATGTTGAAAATAATTTTAGAAGAAAACATGCTGCCCGGCCGGTGCGGCCCAGTGGCTGAGTGTTGGTGACTCATGCACCAGGAGGTCGCTGGTTCGTGTCCCAGGCTCGCACACGGCTGGGCTGCCGCACGATCCTGGCAGGGGGCGTGCAGGAGGCGGCCGGTTGATGTTGAAGTTTCTCGTCAGTGTCTCTGTCTCCCTCCCTCTCCCTTCCTTTCTCTCTAAAAAAACCCCACAAAGTTAACAAAAACATATTTTAAAAAAAAGAAAGAATAGAAAACATTCTCCCGTCCTCTTGAGGGGCCGTGCACCTGCCCCGTGGGGAGCACGCAGGGTGGGGTCTGCCGGTTCGGCTACCGGCGAAGCCGTGTGGAGACACTTCTCTGAATTCTCGGTCTGACCCGAGCCTCCGCCGCCACTCCTGGGCGGGCACATGCCACGTCTCTGGGGACCTTTGAAACCCTCTGCAAGCTTTTCCAGGGGTTCCTGACCCAAGTCCCCTCACACCTGACCATGACTCTCTGCAAGGCTGCAGGCCCAGGCGGCCACCCCTCCCGCTCACCTTCCCTGCCACCCCCAGCTCCCAGCAGCCCCCGGCCCGTGTCCATCAAGGCCGTGTCCTTGCATGTGCTACAGCCCAGCCCGAGGCACCTCCAGGAGGACTGACATCTCACTCGGCCTCCCTGGCTGTGGGCCCCTCCTGGGGCTCCTGGGGCACCCAGACTCTCAGCACAGCCCCCTCATCTCTCGCCAGGAAGAGCTTCCACTGACCTGGGTAGGCTGGGGTTGGAGGGGGCTTCTTCAGCCTTCTGACCTTCCTCTGGGGGGCAGGTGCGGAGGCTCCGAGGGTGTGCGAGGCGCTGGAGGGCAGCGAGGTGCCCAGGGAGGCACAGCTGGCCTGCCCGTGTGCCTGGGCCCGGATCCTGTCCCTCAGCAGCTCCAGCCGGGGGCTGCTCTTCCTGTGCTGTCGCGGGGACCCCAGCCACTGGGAGGGTCTCTCCTTCCAGGGCTTGTGGGGAGGTGCACACGACTTGTGCCCCCCGGAGGAGCCGGACAGGCGGCCGGATGACACGGAGCTGTCCCCGTCCTTGGACTGCTCACAGGCTGCCCATATCGGGCAGCTGCAGGTCTGCCCAGGGGGGCCTGGCCTCTGGAGGTGGTCAGACCAGACCACGTAGGGTGTTCCCTGAGGGGCGTCCGGCTGCTTGGAGGGCCTGGGCCACCTCAGGGCAGCCATGAGGTCATCCTCGGCTATCGGTGGATGTGGCTTGCCTGCCCTTGGGAGAGAGAAGCAGACACAGCTGGTCAGGAGTGGAGACCCAGCAGAATGTCCCACAGTGCTCCCCACCCCTCGTTCTGCCAGTGCTCCTCCCAGAGCACCCCCAGACGGGAAGTGCAGGGGCCAGGGAGGTGCCCCCAGAACGGCATCTCTGAGATGTTCTCTAGACCCCGACAACGCGGCTTTTCTTATGCACCATGATCAGCCCAACCCACAGGTTGGGAAACTGAGGCTCAGGGAGAAGGGACACAGCAGGGCCCTCTGGCCCCCAAGTCCTCACAGTGACTGGACACCCTTCAGGGGAAGGCGTGCCAGGTGCCCAAGCACTACCTGGGCGCGGTGCCGGCCTGGGCAGCTGATCTCCACGGGGCGCCCAGGGAGAGGGGGCAGTGGCTCTGGCCACCTTTGGGGTGAGGCTGGGTCCTTGTCCCCGGGCAGGTGGACATGGCCGCAGGGCAGGCGCCAGGGCAGGGCCGCGTGAGCTGCAGTCACCACCTGCCCTGGGCACGTCCGCAGGGCAGCCTCGAGGTCTGCAGCGCAGCTTCCATTCCTGCTCCCGGTGGGCTGGCCCCTGCACCACCCGGGTGCCGTCCTGGTCCCCTGCCCAGGATGGAAACGCTCAGGGTGGTCATGGACCTGGGTGGGCACAGTGGGCTGCCCAGCCCTAGCCTGGCAATGGCCTGGGGGCTTCCAGCTGAGCTGCTCCTTGGAGGAGAGGGAGAGAATGCCAGGTAACCGTGACAGCACAATAACCCGTCACTCAGCAACCAGGGGCTGAGGCCTTCGACCCCTGCTGGGGCTCAAGCAGTGCCCCGCCCCGTCCTGCCAGGACACGGGGGCCAGGGGCTGGCGCGCATGGTGAGTGAGCTGCCAGGGCTGGGGTCCGGCAGTGGGGACCGAGTGGGGTGCTGGGGGAAGGGCAGGCTCCCAGGGTCAGTGTTAGGAGTGGGCCTGGGCTCAACCCCAGGCTGGTGTTGGGCTCAAGGTTCAGTTCCCAGAGGGGTCAGCCTGGGAGCCCAGATGCAGAAGAGAGGAGCCAGCCCGAGGCGTGTCCCCAGCAGCTGGACGAGGGGCCCAGTGCTCAGCTCAGACGTGAACGCAAACATATCTGCCACTTTTCTCTGGCTGGGGAGGCTGGTCAGGGAACAGGGCGTGGCCTCGGCCGCCCCGGAGACACCCTTTTACACGTAGTAGTTGGAGCCCAGGCCTGCCAGCCCTCTCCTGCTGGCTCCTGTCACCTCGCGCTGACCCTGGCGGGGCTGTGGGGTGGGCAGGACCGGACTCTGCGCTCAGCTGGCCCCCAGGAGGGTAGCTGTTCAAACCGCAGCCAGCCCCAGTGGGCTGTGTGACCTCGGGAGACTGGAGACCCCACCCAGCCCACCTCTGGGGACTGTGAGCACCTGGTGAGTTCACCCGGGGCTGGGAGCCAGGTCTGAGCAGCCAGGGTGCGGCTGGGGTGGTTATTGGCAGTGGCCTTGACCGTCCTCCTGCCGGGATGGAGCAGCCCCGGAGGAAGGGGGTCGGCAGTGAAGGACCAGCAGGAGGGGCGGGTGACCCAGGGACAGGGCCTGCCTGGGGGGAGGTGCCACCCCTCTACCCCAACCCACCTGCCCTATGGGGGGCATGCATGCCTGAGCACACAGCCAGCGGGACCCCAAATCCAGGGGTCCGGTCCTGCCCGGGCTGGTTCCACCCGGGGACGTGGCTCCTGGAGCTGAGATGGAGCAGGTCCCGCCCACACGCTTCTTCACGACGTGTGTCTGTGTGTGTCACAGGCCACCTGGGCTACACCGGCAGCCTGGGGTTGGGAAATGGACCCTCTGGCAGAGCCGCAGGGCATAGTATGTCCCTGGGATGTGCTGGGTTTCTGGGAGCCGGGGGCACCGTGCGGGCGTGGCCACAGCATCCCCACCCTCAGAGACCGGACAGCTGAGGGGACAGGCAGACAGCTCCACCCCCTCGGGTCCCCAGAGCCTCCCACCCCTGGGCCAGATCCCGCCATAGCCTTGCGGAGACCACGAGCCCACGTCCATCATCCTGCCAAGGGACCCAGGCCGCGTCCTCCCCACACTGCTCCCGAGAGGACAGACCGCAGGGGCGTCATGGGTGGAAATGTCTGGAACTGAGCACTGAGGAGTTTCTCCCGAGAGCTGAGCTCGGTGCCCTTTTAACCCACTAACAGGGAAACCTCGTGGGTGCTGAGGTGCTCCTTCCCCGCTGTACTCCGCTGGCTCCACTGTGAGGCTGCAGACACAGCTCCAGATCCAGAGCCATGTGCTTCCCAAAGGCCTCGGAAACTCCCTCTCCCTGCCAGGACCCTCTGCTGATGCCCAGCCCACAGCTGCTCGTCCCAAGGTCGCCCTGCCCTGCCCTCTGGCACCTGCTGGGACGACAGCGGTCTCTGAGCTGGGCTGCAGCCCTCGCCCTGGGTCATACACAGCAAGGCTCTGGGGAGGCCACTGGGCAGAGACCACAGCTTGGGGTGGAGAAGTGGCCTCTAGGAAGGTCAGGCCTGTGATGGATCAGCCAGGGCAGCATCTCAGCTGAACCGGGCTGGACGCTCGCCCCACTCAGACCCCACAGCTCCTTCCACCCTGATGCCGTGCTCGCTGAAGAAGGTCCCCTCACCCTGGCCAGTTTGGCTCAGCGGTTAGAGCGTCGGCCTGCAGTCCGGAGAGACCCGGGTTCGGTTCCTGCTAAGGGCGTGTACTTTGGTTGCAGTTTGTCCCCGACCCTGGTTGGTCGTGCGGGTGGCAGCCACTCAATGTGTCCCTTCACGTCGATGTCTCTCTCTCTCTCTCTCCCTTCCTCTCTCTCCCTCCCACACTATCTGTATAAAAAATGGAAAAATATCCTCGGGTGAGGATTAAAAAAAAAAAAAAAAAAAAGAAGGTCCCCTCACTCCCAGTGTGTGCGTGGGCCTGGCTCCCTCCCTCCCTCCTCCCCCACAGGGCCAGGGACTCGGGGGGGGGGGGGGGGGCAGGGGATGGCCTGGTGTGTGAATGCTTGCGGCTGGGCACTGCGGAGCTCATGATGACAACCTCAAGGGAGAAATCCAGCTCCCATCCACAGGCTCAGCCACTGTGTCCAGTCCAGGGTCCCAGCAGGGTCAGGGCCAGGCATGGAGAGATGGTGGCCCCTGTGCGTTCCCAGGGCCGTGCTCAGCCACCACGAACTGGAAGGGTCACAGGGGTGGGCTTCTTCACTCCAAGAGCAGACAGAGCAGCCCCTCATGCTCCTCCCAGCACTTGGGAGACTCCGGGGGAGAGAACCCCAATACCCAAACACACTAGGTGCACACTGGTGACCTCGGGCAGGTCATTCAGCACTTGGCCGTCACTTTGCTCGTTGGAAAAGTGCGCAGAACATTAGCCCCCAGTTGGTCGGGTTATTTGGAGGGTCAGAGACACACAGAACACAAAATGCTCCCCTGGGGCCGGGCACAGGCCAAGAAAGCCGGCCCCTCAGTCCTCACCGAGCCCACCCAGCTCTGACGCCATCTGTCCACGAGGCACCTGCATGGACACCGGAAAGTGGGGACTCACAGGGCAGCCTTCCTGCCCTCGATGCCACCAGGGGCTGCACATACCCTCCTACCACACCTGCCAGGAGCCCGAGGCCTGGGCTGGATGGTGCGGTTGGTGGACACAGTGGGGAGGGGACCTGGAGCCCGAGGCCTGGGCTGGACGGTGCGGTTGGTGGACGCAGTGGGGAGGGAACCTGCTTCCTTCTGGAGCCGGCAGCACTGTGCTCTCATCAGTCACACTGTTTACCTGTCACTGCCTCGCCCCTGGAGCAGCAAGCCCTGAGCAGGTCTGAGCAGTCTCGGGGACAGACTCCGTGGACCCCAAAGGAGAAAGGCCACACCCACTCCCTCAGGACCCCAGGGTTTGAGACCACAGAGAACTGGGCAGCAACGACAGCCAGCACAGGTCACAGCGGGGTAATGCCTGCTGATGACCAAGCACCAGGGCCCCTGGGCCCTGCTGCAGTGAACCGCATGCACCTGTGACCCAGGGGCTCCCATGCGCACACACGTACGTGCACGCACATCAGGGTCACAGAGTGAGGCGGGCTGCCAACAGGCCTGGTGTGGGTTCTGGTCGGGGATGTCCCCTCAGCCTCCGTGCCTCCACCAGCCCCTCCCCAGGGAGGCTGGCCGACTCCTCACAGCTGGTCGGGCCCCAAGGGGACTCAGGGCCACGCAGAGGTGGCTGGTGCCAGGGCGGGAACAGGGCTGCAGTACGAGCAGTGGTTTGGGAAGAGGCTGCGGGGGGCGGGGGGGAGGCCAGACGAAAGCACTGACAGGCCAGAGGGGCAGAGTGAACACCGAGGGCGAGTGGCCACAGAGCGGGGCCTCCGCGGTCAAGGGCAACACGTCAGACATGAAGGCACAGCTGCCCACACCCCAAACTCTCAGCCCAGCCTGGGCAAACCCCTCGGCTAAGCAAGTAAGGAGCAGCCCACAGAAACCTGGTGCCCACCACCCACCAGGGAGCCCGGAGCCACTGTCCACTCAGACATGTCAACAGAGGTCAGCGGGGAGCACCACACTGCGGGCCTGCTCCCTCTCCCCATTTTACAGATGGGGAAACCAAGGCAGGGTCTATGAGATGGAATCTAGTGCCACCAGCAGTGGGACCGGAGCCCAGAGGCAGGGCCGTGAAGTGGGCAGGGACAGTGGACATCTACTCCCAGGGTCAGACTGGCTTTGCCGCTGAGGAGGCCCCAAGCCCTCAGAGGGGAGCCCCAGGCAGGAAGACCTCTCCCAGGTACCGTGACAGGATGGCGGCTCGTCTGCCTCCAGCCGAGTACATGGAAGGTGGGAAGGCTGAGCCCTCCTGACCTGCCTGTGCCCTCGTCGCTGTCTGTCCCCCTGCTGGTGTTTCCTCCCCCCCACCAGGTGCCAACGCAGGGATGGAGACGGGTCGTCTGTCTATCCCATGCTGCTGGAACACTCTAGGACTCTAAGCTTGCTTTTTGCTCCTGTGCCCCCAGGTGCTCACCCGGTGAAAGTCTCCAGGCCTCCCTGTCTGTGGGAGGGCACCAGGCCACAGCCATGGTTCAAAGTCCAGCTGTAAACAAAGCCCAGGAACCCGGGGTGCCAACCCTCCAGGTACTCTGGAGGTCGGCCGGGAGGCTGGGAGGGAGGCCCTCTCTGACGTTGCCAGAGAAGCCCAGGTGTCTGTCCTTTAGGGCTCCTCCTCCAGGACAGCGAAGGGTCTGCAGAGCCTGGGAAATCAGTGCCAGGGGCCTCACCTGGGCAGAGGTGGTGCTACACACCTGGGGCATCGATCCCTGCGGGGTCCAGGGCAGAGTGGGGGCAGGGCAGGGCGGCTGGGCTCTGGCCTCACAGTGTCCCCGTGAAAAGTCTGGGCTGCTGAGTCTCTCTGGGACAGACCAGGCTCCGCGGTCCCAGGCTCTGAGGCAGAGGCCAAGGAAGCCC